GTAAGGGGACCCTGAACCTGAAACTGGTCATTAACTGCCTTCTGTGTCTGTGGCTCCACGGCCAGGCTGTCACTCTTCGTTTTTGAAATCTCTCCCTTTCTCTCTCTCTCTCTCTCTGTGTGTGCACACGCATTATGTGAGTGCAGGCACCCACATACCACAGTTCACATGTGGAGGTCAGAGGACAAACTTTGGATGTCAGTTCTCGCTGTCCATCTCGTTTGTGACCAGGGCTCTAGCTAGCCTTGGAACTTCCCATGATTCTCCTGGGAGGAGCATGCTAGGATTACAGACACTTGTGCCACTGTGTCTGGTTTTTACATGGATTCTCGGGACCAGAACTTAGGTCTTAAGTTAAGTGCAGTGAGCGCTTTGCCCCCCCCCCCCCCCCCCCCCCCCCCCCCCCCCCCCGCTCTCCCAGCCATCTCCCTAGCCCTGTGTTTTGTTTGCTGACTTGTTTTGTTTTTGTGTTGAGACAGGGTTTTACTATGCAGTGCTAGCGGTCCTTGAACTGTGTAGACCGGGCTAGCCTCTGCCTCCCAAGACTGAGATTGCCCATGTGTGCCACCATGCCTGGCCGTCACTGTTCCTTCACAGTTGAGTTTTCCAAGTTTAACCTTAGTCCTGACTTTTCCAACTCCCTCTTCTAAGTTCTTGGGTCCTCTGGCCTTGTTCTGGTGTCAGTCACACCAAGGGTCCCCTTTATTCTGTCTCGTGCACATTTAACAAGAACCGTGCGGCTGGTTGTTGGGGCCTGGGTGGGGGGGGTTGTGTGGTGCAGTGGTGCTGGGTTGTCCCGGGCGAGCAGAGGCTGGCAGTGAAGGCCAAGGCCCCTAGCATCACACTTCCTGACTGTCCTGAGGTGATTCCTGGGCTCCGGCAGATGCATGCCCAGTGCCCACCCCCCAGCTAAGATCTGCAGCCCTGCCCTAGCTGGGAGAAGCATCTTTGAGGTCTCTATGGTCAATTTTTAAAAAATCATGCATTTTTGCCTCCCATGACAGCATATATTTATTGTTTTTGTTTGTTTATTTTCTGAGTTTCACTATGGAGCTCTAGCTGTCCTAGAACTCACTCTGTAGACCAGGCTGGCCTCAAACTCATAAAGATCTGCCTGCCTCTGCCTCCCAAGTGCTAGGATTAAAGGTGTGTGCCACTACATCCAGCTTTATAGTTATTGTTTTAATATAAAAATAGCATTTTGAGTTACTATCCCAAAAAAAGCTGCCCTGGGCTGGGCATGGTGGTGCACATATTTTATCTCAGCACTCAAGGCAGAAGCAGACAGATTCCTGGGAGTTTGAGGTCAGCCTGATCTACACAGTGAGTGAGTTCCAGGCTGGCTAGAGGTATAAAGTGACTTTCCAGAAATCCAAAATAAACAAAATAAAACCCTGTCCTTTGGGGTTCTGGGCCTTGGTCACTCACATCTCATGTATCTTCATTTGTCTTATGTCTGAGCCTCCTCTAATCAGCCTAGATGGGTACCCACAACCCTTGGGGTCCGTACCACATCCCAGAGCAGGCAGGGCACACAGGCTGGGAATATGTCAGGGGCTTTGCACTCATCTCTCTGCTCTCCTGTGGGAATTGCCAAAACTCTGCCTCTCCCCAGCCTAGCTAGTGTTTGGGGGTGTTCCTTGGGAAACACTAGTGATTTTACTCTGAGTTATCTGAATTGGGCAATGGAAAAGCCAGCGTGGGGTTTGGCCGCTTTCTCATCCTAGCCTCAGAGTTCTGGACCCCAGCCAGTCTCATCTAGAGCCGAATCTACCCACCCTTCAGAGCAAATCTTTTTGCCCCAGAGCTGTGGCATGTTTAAGGTGCCTTTGGGCTGTGAAGCTACCTCTAGGCTGCAGCACAGGCTTGGTTGTGTCAGATGGGGTTGGAGGGCACAGGGATGAAATCATAGGGAAGGCAGGGATCAATCCCTGTCTTTACACAAGATGGAAGGAAGTAACTCTGGTCCACAAGATCAACAGCCCCTTCTACATTGTGGTTCTAAAGTTCAGCTTAGGTGGGCTGATGCTTCAGGCAACATAGTTCAAGTGGTCAGGCTCTATTACCCACCTTAGTCCTCCCCTAGGGTAAGCTTCCCTCCAGGATGGGCCCTCTTCAAGGCTTCTCATCATGCTCCTGTCAGCACCTGGGCCCTGCTGTGTGACGGCAGGCTGAGAGCCCCTGCTGTGACGATGCCCTTGGTTCCTGTATGCCATGGTGTCCAGAGCCCAATCTGTACCTCTCTTCCTGTTTCTTTCCCTAGTGGTCGCCACCTCTCCCAACAGAAGTTTGACTAATTTTGCAGGCCATGGTTGACTGAGGACAGTTCCTCTGCCCACACCAGTGTTTCTGTAGGGTCACATTGGCAGTTTTATTTGTGTGACAGGTGCAAAGGAAATGAGCAGCTGTGGGGGCCAACACTCACTTCTTGCCTTCACTGGGCCCCATTTCCCCCAGCTGTCTTGCTAGGGGGACTATGCTTTTTTACCTCTGAGATACATGTATCACCAGCAGGCTGGTCTTCCATGGGTGTCACCCAGTACATGCATGACATTCCCATGCAGGGGCCTTCCTTCTCTAAGCTCAGACACTGTATTGGTTCAGGGGTGAGTGGTCCAGGGGGTTTGCTTTAGTGGGCCAGTGTGGAGCCAGCTGGGAGCAGGTCCCAAGCAGCACTGGGCTTCAGGCCACACACTGAGGGCGGCGTATGGTTGTACCCCGCCTGCAGCCAAGAGCCAGGATCTGGGCTTTGCATACTTGGCCTACTTTTTGTTGAAAAACAAACACACTGGTCAGCCAGAGAATGAGTGGCAAGGAAAAATGCTGGCTTATCACCGCAAACATCAAGCCCCCTCCCCCTCCAATTCCCCGGGGCTCTGGGGCTCAAAGCTAGTGTGAGGGCAGGCCTGAGCCTCCCTGAGGCTGGGCCTCAGATGCTTGTGAACTCCCTTCCTCTGGATAAGGCCTCTCACACACAGTCCAGTTTTAAGCAAAGGGAGTCCAAACTTAATATAGCTCTGCTAGAACCTCAACCAGGTTTTATTCGGCCATGAGAAGCAGAGACAACCCTGTCCTGGGTGGAGTGGCTGTGAGCGGAGGCTGGACTCCTGGTCCACAGTCAGTGTTTCTAGGAGCTGCTAGGTAGTGGTTCTCACCCCGTTTCCTTGGTGTCCCGTGCTTGGAGTGGAATAGCCCCTCACATCCGGCCTGCTGGCTGCTCTGACCTGGCCATACTGACTGTGTGGCTGCTGATGACCCTCAACCTCTGTGGGGCCCTGTGAAACAGGACTGAGGTGGTTCCATGAGATTGGAATTAGCTCTCAGAATCAGGGGCAGCCAGAAGACTGGAGATATTGAGTACTTATCACACCTGCTCTCCTCATCCTTCCTATCAGGCTCTAAGACACCCATGGTCCATGGCTCAGCTGAGCTTGGCAGGAAACCGAAGAGCCTGGGTCAGAGGCCCAGCCTCCCAGGGAGGGAGTTGCCTGCTTCCGGCCAGCTTCAGATTAATGGCTTTTAATTTAGAATTTAATCAATGCAGCTTCCCTCCAGAGAGCTGGATGCTCCGGTCTGGGAGAGTGTCCTGTGATCTGTGAGTAGGGTGGCAGGGGGCCCAGGATGGCCTCACCAGGTCAGTGCTCCGCCCCACCCTGAGCTTGTTCTGCTTTGCCTGCAGGCGGCTGGCACCCTGGTTATGGAGGACTGCAACGTGCACTCGGCGGCCAGCATTCTGGCCTCGGTGAAGGAACAGGAGGCCCGTTTCGAGCGGCTGACGCGGGCACTAGAGCAAGAGCGGCGCCACGTTGCCCTGCAGCTGGAGCGTGCCCAGCAGCCTGGCATGAGCAGTGGTGGTATGGTGGGCAGTGGGCAGGCCCTGCCAATGGCCTGGCAACAGCTGGTTCTGCAGGTAATAGTCTGGGGGAAGGTGAAGACAGCCGAGTGAGGAAACAGTTGAGGTCTCGGTGGATCACAGCTAGCATGCAGTGACTTGTAGGTCTGCTGGAGCCTGGGGGGAGGAAAGGGAGGAAAGGAAAGAGCAGGATATGCCTGACCCTCAGAATCGGAGCCCTCCATTGAGTGAGCCCTCAGGGCCTAGGTAGCTAGATTGGATCCTACCATCTGCCCGCAGCTCAGTGACCTAGAAGCATCAGTTTCTCCCCTGGCCGTTGCCCTTACACAGCATTCAGGCCCCAGGTAGGGAGCTCTGTTCCATAGCCAGGACCTGAGAATGCTAAAGTGGGGTGCACAGCCAGGCATCAGAGTTTCTTGGCCTTTCCCTACACCCTCATGATGCAGGGAGGTCCCAGAAGGAGGAAATGCAGAGGTTTGGAGTCTGCTATGATTGTCAAGGTTTCCGTTATGGCTGGGGCTCACCCAGCTCCCAGCAGGAAGAGGAGGCCACTCCTCACCACCCAGAACAGATACTTGGCCTGCTGTTGTCCTCTGAGCGCCTCAGTTTCCCTTGTCCACGCCTGCACTCTTAACCATGGCTGCCCTTCTGTGCAATCCAGCCCTTCTCTAGTCCTCCTGGTCTTTCATCCTCGGGGACCATGCCTAGCATGCACTTGCTAGAGACTGGAGGAACCCTGGCCCATTTTAGCCAGAAAGGGAAGGAGGCACTGGGCATGTGAGACTCATAGACAAGCTGCCTGTGTTAGGTTTGGGGGACAGGTTGGGACTGGCCCCTGAGTCTGTCCTTGTCTGATGGTTCATAGGTAAGAGTTCCCACATCCATTTACATCTACTCACCTAAAATGTAGAATAGTCAGAACCAGATTTCCAGATCTCCAGGAGACCCCAAGCCTGTTGGGAGCCATTTTTCCCCTCCCCCCTCCCCTCCATTTTTTCTCTTTGAAACAAAGGTAGCCCTGGCTGGCATTAAACTTACAAGAGATCTGTCTGGCTCGGCCCTGTGACTTCTGGGATTAAAGGTATGCTCCACTACATCTGGCTGAAGAGCCCTTTTTTAAACTACATGGTGCTAAGTGGTTTCTGTGAGGCAGAACAGAGAATTAGGACTGGGGGGAGTGGGCCTGGATGAGTGGGCCACACCCATGAGGAGCTTGCTGAGTCAGACTCCAGGCTCTAGGTCTTCCAGACGGTGAGGCTCTGATACAATGCCTGTCCAGTTTACAGGAGACCCTACCATATAAAACCATACCCAACCTAGTAGTTCTATACCCCTAACCTTCCCTACCATATAAAACCGTATCCAACCGAGTAGTTCTATACCCCTAACCTTCCCTACCATATAAAACCATATCCAACCGAATAGTTCTATACCCCTAACCTTCCCTACCATATAAAACCGTATCCAACCGAGTAGTTCTATACCCCTAACCTTCCCTACCATATAAAACCATACCCAACCAAATAGTTCTATACCCCTAACCTTCCCTACCATATAAAACCATACCCAACCGAATAGTTCTATACCCCTAACCTTCCCTACAATATAAAACCGTATCCAACCAAGTAGTTCTATACACCTAATCTTCCCTACCATATAAAACCGTATCCAGGCAAATAGTGAGCTCTGTACCCCAAACCTTCCCTAACCTTCTAAGGAAGTAAAAAGGCTCAACTGGGCCACATGAGGTCAGTGGCAGCCACTGACCCCGAGGCTGTTCCTTGGGCACCACGAAACTCAGTGCAGCCCTCCCGGGACAGAACAGGCTCTGTTTTCCATCTCTTTGACAAGCAGTATGGGAGGATAGACCCAGGGCACCCTCAGGGTCAGCGCCCTGGCAGGAAGCTGTTCCCACAGTCTGGAGCTGCCGACCTCAGGCTGTGTCTTCTCCTTACCCACTACCCCGCCCCACTCTTGGCTTTCATGGCTCTAGCCAGATAAGACTGGCTGATGCAGACATGAAGAGACTTGGGCTGGCCGGGCCATTGCCTCAGTGTTGAATCTTTGTATATTAATCTCGATGAGAGGTGACCCAGGACCTACCTCTGAGGCACAGGTCAGCATAGGTGGTTGAGAACTCGGGGTGGTGGCAAGGCAGATACCTGGGGCCTGCAGCCTGTGAGCTACAGTCAAGGGCCGCAGCCTTGCCCCTTGGGCTGTTCCACGGTCCTTCCTGCCTGCCTTTCATCAGCTGGAGCAGAGTGGGGTGGGTGGGCACTGTGACCTGGCTGCTAGGCTAATGCGCTTGCCTCAGGCTTAGCCAAAGTGGGTTTGTGGCTGGGGCACTAGCAGCTAGAAAATGCACAGAAGGCAGCAGCAGCTTCACCGTAAGACCCGGGCTGCATTCCCTCACAAGTGTTCTATTCACTGGTCTGGGTGACTGGGAGTGGAGGATGGAGGTCAGAGGTCAGAGCAGGCTGGACTGAGTGGGGAAACCGAGGCCAGCGGAAACCTAGCCTGCATGAGCATGTTTGAATATCTCACAGTGCAGCCTCTGTTCGTGGCACGTCAGGGAAGCAAGGCGGGGCCTCGGGGCCTCAAGTCTCACTTTTCAGATTGGGCTGAAGAGCAGCAGACAGGAGGCAGGGAGTCCAACCTGGGCTCCTTCCCTTGGAGTGCCCTCTGAGCTTCCCTGGGCTGGCCCAGCTCTGCTCTCTCATTGTCAAGCTCCGTAGTCTCTGTAGTCTCCGCTCTCCTCCCTGTGCCATCCTCCTCCAGCAGTCAGACTCCCCAGGTGTGGCTGCTGGAAGGCTTAGGGTGGAGCAGGTACGTCTTGCTGGCTCTGATTCCCACAGCCCATTTGTCATTTCCCAATAGACGCAGGGCTTGGAAGACAGGGTTTGAAGCCAGCTCAGTTTCCAGGGCTTCTGACAAGAGCCCCAGTCCAGAGATTTTCTAGCCCAGAGCAATTCCAGATTTGGCTTTCTGCCCCACTGTTTGATACATTGTATCAGCCTTCAAAGGGTGAGAAGACACTGTGTTTTGTTGGGGGGAAGCTCAAGACACAAACCGGGTGCCCTGTGGGGTCATGCACTAAAGTCCCCACTAAGTTCTGCGGTGACCTTGACTCGGAGACCCATTCGGAGTGAGGGTCCGAGAATTTGCAGCTTGACCATACCTAAACTATGTCTCAAGGCAGGTGACGCACAGTTAGGATAAGTGGCTTGTGCCAGGTCGGTAACCTTGCCCGGATCTGCTCTGTGGTACCTCAGTTTACACAACTGTAGAGGTGGATGGGCGTTCACATTCACTGGGGGTAGATTGAGACCTCAGAAGGAAGACTTTGCCAAAGTCTCTTGGTGTGGGAGTGGGGGTGGGGTACTGACCCTAGGGCGTGATGCTGGGAGCCAAGACCTAGGGCTGGCGACCGGTCAGGCCTAGCTGCAGAGTCCCGCCCAGGCCTGTTGTGGGCGGAGCCTCGCCCGCCCCGCCTGGGTGCGCCCCGCCCGATTGGCTGCTAGCCGTGGCCGCTGCCAGGTCCGCCTTCACCGGAGCGAGTCAGTAGACCTGGAGCGGCCTGGGGGCCCGCGGAGCGCGGTCCGGCTGCCGCCCCCGCCGGCTTGCAGCCTCGAGCCTCGGTCCGATGCCGGCCGAACTCAGACAGGTTGGAAAGAACTCGGTCCCCGCGGGGGGCGGGGGCGGTGTCCTGAGGCCCTAGCCTTCCCGGGAAGACCCGCTTTTGTTTAGGCGTGCCGCGAGCCCTCGGCAGCTATTGTCTGCTCCGGAGCCGGCATTGCTGACCCCGGGACCAGGAGCGGTGGCGGGAGTGAGCCTGCTGCCTGCGCGGAGGGGGCGTGTGCGAGCACCCTGTGCAGCTGTACGGCAGGGGCTGGAGCCCCGCGTGGGGGCGCAAGCCGGGAGACCCTGCGCTCGGATGGAGCATGACTCCCAGAAGGGTGCACCCCTTCGGCCGTGGGACAGGTGGCGGGGGTCGAGGGGGCGGGACAGAGGGCCTTCCCAGCGGCCCCTCCCCGAACAGAGCGAGGCCTACCTGCCAGCCCAAGGAAGCTGGCCTAGGCCTCTTGCTCCCTGGGGGCTCTCTCGCCTCCCCTCCACCCGCCTTCGGCGCGCCTCTGACTACACTCTGGGGACCAGTGGAGCAGCTTCTGGAGGTTTAATGGAAACCCTCTCTGCCGCGGCATTGCACGTGAGGGGAGGAGCAGAGGCTGGTACTGCCCACGTGTGGTGGCGGGAGGGGTCTGCCGGCAGCCAGCCTATATGCCTTCCAATACTGGTGAGGGGCAGGTACGCAACCTGTACTGTGTTCAGAGAGTGGGGTTCGTTAATAGGCAGGGAAATTGCGGCTGCTTGGAGCAGGGACTGCCTAAAAGACACTTGGCAGAACTCTCTCTCACACCTGATACGGTCCATAGGTTCCGACCACTGACTGCCCAGGCAGTCGTGGATTTATAGTCAGTGTGTCTGGGGTCCCAGCTTCAGGAAAGCTGGGAGTGGTGACGTTTGGCCCTCTCCCTCGCTTGTTCAGCCCACATGCCCCTTGGCCTTTTAGCCACTGTCTAGGGCCACATCCCTGACAGGCTCGCTGTTCCTGTGGGCTGTGGAAGGGTTGTGCAGAATGCTGTGGGCATAAAAGGAGGTGGTGTTTTTGTGGTGACCAAGGGCCTGTCTGGTAGGAGATGCCAGCCTGACTTGTCCTACACTCTGCCTAAGAGGGCCATGCTGGAGTTCAGAACTCAAGCCATCCATCCACTGGTGGCCATCTTGTGCCCTCTGGGACCCTGATGGTGTGGGCTCCGGGTATGCATCTCACTTTATTCTGTGGTTGATGCATGTCAACAGGTACCGCACAGGGTGTTGCACAAGGCTTATGGTCTATTCTGCAAGATGTGGACTATAGAGGCTCATCCGTACAGTGCATGAGCTGTTAGGTCCTAGTGGGTCTTGGTTTCCTCTCCATGGTCCTGGCGTTGGGCGTATGGGTGGGATGGGTTCCTGTGGCTTCCCTTCTCTGCATGAGGAAACTGAGCTCTCACAGGTTTGTGTTCAGCGCTGTGCCCTGTGGGGCTCCTCCAGGAAGCATGGTGGCTGGGTAGGTCCTCCACAGGCAAGGAGAGAGCTCTAGCAGACCCCAGGCCTGCCTAGAATCAGCTGTTAGGCTACAGGCTAGAAGTATGGAGAACGAATAGGCCGGTAGATCGGTATGAAACATGGAGACACTCCACCAACCTTCAATGTTGAATGTCAATTTTGCTGCTTGTCAGCACACCATTACACAGACCCACCACAAAGAAATTACAGAAGCTGAGTCCCAGGGTGGCCTTGAGCATCTTACTGCCAAAGGCCTCAGTTTCCTGATCTGTACTACCACTGAAAACCCAATAGTCAATTGGTAATAGGGTGTCAATGACTCCTTCCCTGTGCCAATAAAGGTACAGACAGGTGGATAGAAGGTGGGGTGCATTTGAGAACAGGGGGCATGTGCATAAATCAGTGCACTTGTACCTGTGTTCCTGACTGGGAACTTGTGCATGTACACATGCTCCTGTTTGAGCAGTTAGAGACGTGTGTTTGTATGAGTCCAGATCCCTGCCTGTGTGTGTGCCCAGGCATGTGTAGCTGGCCTGACTTTTCCCAGGAACATGGCTGACTTAACACTCTTGGCTGCCTGGGTGAGGTCATTAACTGTTTTTAGCTTCCTGAGGTCATTTGCTAACAGAGACTCTTGGAAGCTCAGGATCCCTCAGCCCGTATGTTAGTGGGTGCCTACTGCGGGTTGCCACCCTTTGCTGGATCCTGGTTCTCTAGACCGCTCCAGTTGCTGTGTGTCATATCCTCAGCACAGCCCAGGGTCTGTGATTCACAGTGCCCTCTCTCCTTCCTCGCTTTACCACCTAGATAGAGAGTCAGTAGGGTCCTTTGAATGTTTAATATATGTAGATGCATGCAAATCTACACAGGGGCCCTGTCCCCTGGCAGAATGTCCCAGCAACTGTCCCTCAGCCTTGCTCCTCCCCCTCCATATCTAGGAATGCAGCCCCTAGCCTCCCCCTCCCCCCAAAAAACAAACAAAAACCCTCTTGACTAGCTCCCCAGGGTCCAGCAGTGAGGGCTACGGCTTGACACTCAGTCACCAAATAGAGATGGGACAGCCCAGGCCTCAGCACAGAGCTGTCCCAACTACCCAGTGTCCTTGGAGAAGTGCCCAGGTCACCCAATCTGGCATCTTTCCAGTTGTCCCCACATTGGGCCTCATCTATTTCTCTTTCCCAGGGAACAGGGTCTCCTCTTCCTGGCCAGGTCCCAGCAGACATTCCATCTCATCCCTAGGCTAGGAAAGTAACTGCCAAGGCACTGTCCCAAAGAGGTGAGGCAAAGCTCAAAGGCTTCCTTGTTAGATAGGTTCCTGAAATCCTCTGCTGGGACTGCTGAAGTTCTGGGCAGACCTGCTCTCCTCGGCCAGGCCTCTTAAATCTCCAAAGCCCTGCTCCTAAGGGAGGGAGCAGTGTGCTCTGTGCCTCCACTTTCCTGTGTTCCCAGAGCCCAGGAGATGTCCTGTCATGCTAGTGATACACTTACACTCATACATGTCTCAGTCAGGGACCAGGTGCTCCCCCAGGACAGGAGCCAGCCTGAGAAGGTTTCCTGTCCTGATGATCTCAGCAGGAAGACCTGTTGTGAGGACAGCCTGGCCCCCTGCTTAGTGTAGCTCCCAGGCCAGGAAAGGGCATTGTGGCTCCTGAGCTGGGGGAGATGCAGTGTGAACCACTAACCTTCCCCAGGCCTTGGGTGGGTGAAGCACAGCCTTCTGCTGACCTAGCCATGGTTATGAAGGAGTGTGTCTCCTCTAACCCACCCATGGTAGCTTGAGTTCCAACCCCTGTCCAGGCCAGATGCCAACCCTGAGATGTTGACAGGGTGAGGCCCTGGGCCCAGGGCAGACGGTGGCTCTCAGATCCATGTGCCACTCTGCACATCAGGAACTGGCCTGTCTCTTTGGAGTTGGTTTCCACACTCGCTAGTCTGACTAATATACAAGTGGGCCTCCGTCCATAACTGTCTTACCTAGACTTCCCACATCATGCCTCTGTGCGGGGTGGTGACAAGGTGACGGTAGGTAGGAATCCATATATCTAGTGTCTGATATGATGCCTGGTCTCCATGTCCCAAGAGCATCTGGGCCGGAAGGAACAAGGATATTGTAGCACTGTGGGTGGGTGTTGTACTCTGGGAGGTGGGTGTCTCGGAACTGTGAGGACTGCTGGCTGATCTTGGCACAGGATTGTGTGAACTGTGCTGAGACTGTGTCTCCAAGACTTGGCTATTCAGAGTTTATAGAGGAGGATGGGGAGGAAGGCCTACTTGAGGAGGCAAGTGACCTCAGGAGAGCATCTTGCAGGACCTTCTTGGTCCTTCTTTGGGCTTAGAGAAGCCTGTGTAGAGCCATCCTGGCTTTGTCAGGGCACTGTCCAGGTCTCTAGAGCCACCAAGCCCATAAAGGACTTTCTTGTCCGTCAGGTCACCAAGAAAATCAAGACCATGGCCACAAGGATAATATGCTAGGTGCCTTTGGTCCAGATGGACTCCCCTTGGACCACATCCCTAGGTTGAGGAACTGCTAACCCCTGGTGCATGGTCAGCAGAAGTCCAAGGCAGAGTCTGTTGTGCATGGCACCTTGACCTCTGACACCCTTCTCCTTCTAGGAGCAGAGCCCGGGTAGCCAGGCATCGCTGGCCACGATGCCAGAGGCACCTGAGGTGCTGGAGGAGACAGTGACAGTGGAGGAAGACCCTGGCACGCCCACCTCCCACGTGTCCATTGTCACATCAGAAGATGGTACAACCCGGCGCACTGAGACTAAGGTATGTCCAGGCCCAGGTGAGAAAAGGGCAGCGTGGACAACCACAGCCGTCCCTCTGTGGAACAGGCATGTGAGCTGGCCCCTAAGGACCACTCGGCGTTTGGATGGAGAACCCTGGCACTGTCCAGGTCTCTAGAGCCACTAAGCCCATATGCTGCTTTCTTGTCCATCAGGTCACCAAGACAGTGAAGACTGTGACCACAAGAACAGTACGCCAGGTGCCTTTGGGCCCCGATGGACTCCCCTTGCTGGACGGTGGTCCCCCACTTGGCTCTTTTGCGGATGGGCCCCTGGACCGGCATTTCCTTCTGCGTGGTGGTGGCCCAGCAGCCACACTCTCCCGAGCCTACCTCAGCAGTGGAGGTGGCTTCCCTGATGGCCCTGAGCCCCGTGATATCCCAAGCTATGGCAGCCTGTCCCGAGGGCTTGGGGTACGGCCCCCACGCACTGGCCTCCTGGGCCCGGGGCCTGGGGATGGCTGCTTTACACTGCCTGGCCGCCGAGAAGCCTTCCCCATGGGCTCTGAGCCTGGCCCGCCAAGTGGCCGCTCCCTGCCTGAGCACTTCCAAGCTGAGCCGTACGGCCTTGAGGATGATACACGGAGCCTGGCTGCCGATGACGAGGGCGGCCCTGACCTGGAGCCTGACTATGGCACAGCAGCACGGAGGAGACATGAGTGTGGGCGGGGCCTTCGTGCCAGGTGAGCGCCTGTCGCTTGTGACTGCCTCTTCTGGGAGCTCTGTCTTCCACTTCCCAGCTACAGAGTATCCCACAGGTCAGTTTGAACTGGCTTCCTCTCTTCTCAAGGATGGCAGCGTGAACAGGCAGGATTAAGCTGGTGCCGTTGCCTAACGCTGGCTCTGTTCCAATAACCTGCTGGCCAAGAAGGCCCAGGCATCAGATGCTTACATCTGATGACATCACATCAGAAGATGGTGTGACTCCGCTTAAGGCCTCTCATATTTCTTTTTTTTTTTTTTTTGGTTTTTCGAGACAGGGTTTCTCTGTGTAGCTTTGCGCCTTTCCTGGGACTCACTTGGTAGCCCAGGCTGGCCTCAAACTCACAGAGATCCGCCTGGCTCTGCCTCCCGAGTGCTGGGATTAAAGGCGTGCGCCACCACCGCCCGGCGCCTCTCATATTTCTAACCCTAAGTCTCTACCATGCACACTACCTGAAGCCCAGAGGCCCTGGTCCTTCTTATCAGGCCGTTGATCCTGCCCTTTATGCCTTCCCCATTTATATCTGTAGCATGAAACCATGACCACAGCCTGAGTCTAGAGTTCGCTGTGTGACTCTGGGCAAGTGACCTGTCCTTCCTAGCCTCAGACCCTTCCCTGGGAAGTGGGCTTGAGAGTTCCTAGGACAACTGAGAGTCAGCCGTGTCTCATTAGATGGTCTGATTGGAGTGGCCATTCACAGGGAGGATAGTCTACCATTCATATGCTAGTATAGTCAGCTAACATTACAGAAAGGAGGTGGGGTTCCTGCCCTGTCACTGACAGATGCCACATCGAACCACATTAAGCCATGGTTAAGTAACAGTGTTAATGAGTAGACATCCTGATGTGGGAGGGAGGCAAGCCCATTTCATGGCTGCATTTGGCTGTAACCTTGACCTTGCGCTGGCTGGACTGGGGTGGAACTCTTGGTGTCCACACTGCATTTGGGGCTGAGATACAGGATGCTGTCAGTTCCCCTCGGCAGGAAATTCCCAGACCCTTGAACAGGGTGGGGGGCGGGGCTGCTGGCTACTGTGAAGGTGTTGACAGGGTCTGTTCACCCTCACAGGGCCTTTGAGGACACAGCAGATGATGCCGGTGAGCTGATAGATGAGCGACCTTCATTCCCAGCAGCAACGGCCCCTCTGGCCCAGCCTGAGAGGGGCAGCCTGGGCAGCTTGGACCGGGTCGTGCGGCGCTCGCCTTCAGTGGATAGCGCCCGCAAGGAGCCACGCTGGCGGGACCCTGAGCTGCCAGAGGTGCTGGCAATGCTGCGGCACCCTGTGGACCCTGTGAAAGCCAATGCAGCAGCCTACCTGCAGCACCTCTGCTTTGAGAACGAGGGCATCAAGCGGCGTGTGCGGCAGCTGCGCGGGCTGCCCCTGCTTGTGGCGCTCTTGGATCACCCTCGGGCCGAGGTGCGGCGCCGGGCCTGTGGGGCGCTGCGCAACCTCTCCTATGGCCGCGATGCTGACAACAAGGCTGCCATCCGGGACTGTGGGGGTGTGCCAGCCCTGGTGCGCCTGCTGCGAGCTGCCCGTGACAATGAGGTCCGTGAGCTGGTCACTGGTGAGTGGGCCTTGGCCATGGCTGACAAGAGCGTGGCTCAGCCTGTAAGTGGAGGAAACAGGAGTCTAGCAGGCCCAGGTGCTGGGATGGGTCCCCAGCTCTCTCAGCCACGGGGTTCCTGCCACCAGACCCCTACCTCCTTCGTGCCTTACCTGCGCAGGTGCAGGAGTAGCGCTTGTGCCTTGGAGAGCGTGGGAGTGGGGTTGGGGTCACAGGGCTGACTCTCCGTGGCCCTGTGGCCTCATGAGCACTTGCCGTCCACCCACTCATGTAGCAGGGAATGGGTGGGATAAACTGTTACTGGCTGTGCCTCTCTTATAACTTGTCCCTTCCCTACTAACTGGAAGCCACCACTAGGTGCTGCCAGTACGTCCTGCCCAGGCTCGGTGGGGCCCTAGAACCTCGTAGAGCTTTCACTGCTCCTAACTTCTTATGTGAGCTGGGTGTCGCTCAGTGGGAATGCTTGCTACATGTTCAAAGGCCATAGGTGCCATCCTGAGATAACCAACCAACCAAACCCCAACAAAACTACGCTAGCTTCATGTGCCTACTGGAGGACAGGAGGGAAAGACCACAAGTGTCATCCCTGGGGAGGCCAAGGCAGGAGGGCCGTGGTCAGCAGTATTGACTAGTGGCACATTACAGGCACACTCTGGAACCTGTCATCCTACGAGCCCCTGAAGATGGTCATCATTGACCACGGCTTACAGACGCTGACCCATGAGGTCATCGTGCCCCACTCAGGCTGGGAGCGAGAGCCTAACGAAGACTCGAAGCCCCGGGATGCCGAGTGGACAACGGTCTTCAAGAACACATCAGGCTGCCTGAGGTGTGGGCAGGGGTGGGGCATAGGCCAGATCTGCAGGGTAGCAGGAGCTGCCATGCTCATAGCCCAGCTTGTCCAATCTTAGGAGATTCTGAGCCACATCCTAAGTCCCTGGGATTTCCAGTGGTGCTGTCCTCACACCTACAGATGGAGTCCTGTGTCCCTGAGGTCCTGCTTGTCCATCGGTTTTGTGCCATTATGACCCTGCAGGGTCCTGATGTTGGGAACTGCTATTGAAATGATAGGGCAGAATTGCCTGCATATCTTGGATTCTGGCCTCTTGGGGCCCAGCTCTATCCTATTCTAGTTCAGCTGGAAGCCAGAGAACCTGCTTCCTACCCCACAGATACAACGTTAAAGCCCAGTGCCTGGGACAGTCAGGCCACCCTGTCCACCTTCACTGTGATCCAGCAGGACCCATGGTGCAGATGAAAGCCACTGAGGCCTAGTGGGCTGGGGAGTTCAGTGAGGCAAGAATGGGGGTCACTGGTGGTGCTGCTCCCTTCCACCCAGGAATGTGAGCTCGGATGGTGCAGAGGCCCGGCGGCGACTCCGAGAGTGCGAAGGGCTGGTGGACGCGCTCCTACATGCCCTGCAGTCAGCTGTGGGCAGGAAGGACACAGACAATAAGGTGGGTGGCGCAGATGGGAACTAGCTCACAGCCTTCCCTTCAGGTGGTCAGAGCCCGAGGGTCACAGGAACAGGACCCAAGGTTGGGAGCTCCCTAGAATGGCATCGATGGGAGCAGGTAGTAACTACCCAGAGCAGGGGGTGTGGTCCCTCCAGGCAGTTCCCCCCAGCTTAGGCTGACAGTGCTGTTGGTGTTCACTGGCCATAGCTTCTTCACACATAGGGTCTGGGAAGATCAGCAGCCCCCTTTCGGTGTTCCTGCCCAACCAGGCCACCTCTTCCCACAGTCAGTAGAGAACTGCGTGTGCATCATGCGGAACCTGTCCTACCACGTGCACAAGGAGGTTCCAGGGGCAGACAGATACCAGGAGACTGAGCCTGGGATCCAGGGCAGTGCCACAGCCTCCCAGCGTCGGAGAAAGGATGACGCCAGCTGCTTTGGTGGCAAGAAGGCCAAAGGTGGGTGGGTGAGGCTGGGATATGTCTCTTTCCCCCTGCTCCCAGGGCTCAGGGCTTTCCATGTCCACAGCAGGTGTTCTGGAGGCTAGAAGACATGTAGTTAGCTCCATGGGCATGCAGCAAGTTGGGAAAGGTGCAGACCCAAGGCCCAGCCTTCGTCTCTTTCTGTGGGCCATGCTGTGGTATCCACCTTTGTCTCTACTCTGGGGCAGGATTCTGAGGGCCCACAAATGCCACTACCTGGCTATTCACAGAGCACCCTGTAACCACACCCCTTTCCTCGCACCTGCAGGGTACAGGTTTCAGGTACCTGCATCCTCTAGCAGAGGCAGTGGTACAGGTGCACTGCCTTCACCTGTCCCTGACCACAGGTCTTCCCTGTGCCTTATGGGTACTGAGCCCCCAGAGTCTCTGGAGTGAGGTTGCACAGTCTGCTTGCTTGACGTGGTATGGGTGGGAGTCTGAGTCCTGGGAGGGTGCTGCTGCTGCTGAGGCTCATCTCCTCTTTCCTGTGCTTCCTCCGGCCGCCCAGAGGAGTGGTTCCACCAAGGTGAGTCCTGTTTGTTCTGCTGTCCAGGTCTGGCAAGTGCAGTGGGCAGCAGAGTGACATTCACGTTCCCTAAGCTCAGGCAGCTATTTCCATGACAACTGTAGGGCAGCTGGGATGCCTTCCAGCCTCCAGGCCCTGCCCCACCCCCAGCCCCTTGGAAGGGCAGCCATCTCCATGACAACAGCATAGACATGGCAGAGACTGGAATGCTGGCTCTGGGCGGGTGGGGAGGCCCAGGGGCTGCTGCTTACAAAGTCAGAACAAGTTACCAAGCCAGCACTGGGACAGAACAAACAGTGGCAAGGCCCAGGGAGTGGCCAGCACCAGGGGCCGCCTGCCCCTCTGATGCAGTGGGTGATGTGTGGCACAGAAGTACCGGTAAGCAGGGCAGGGGCACCAGTCTTCTGCAATGGCTTGCTGCCTGCTAGAGTTCCTCAGCTGAAGGAGAAGGAGCTGAGAGTTTAACTGGCTACTGTAGGGCTCAGCCTAGATAGGGTCATCCTCCTGTACAGTAAAGGTTGGCCCATGGCCGGCCCCCAGCTGGGGGCAGTTTTCCTCTTGGATGAACTTTTTGGTCCAGCACTGTGGTCCAGTGTGCTGTCACTGGCTCTGATGGGAGGCGAGGTCTAGGTACTCAGGACATGGTTAGGCTGTTCCTAGGCTCCAACGCTACCAAGTCCTGGGCCAACCTGCTTCCTTACTCTGAGGACAGTATATCTCTTCCAGGGTGTTCTTAGTGCCCAATTCCCTTTGGGCTCAGCAGGAGAGGGCTGTGCCTAACTTGGCACACACTCATCCCTCATGGACTCTACCTCTCAATGCCTACCACCCTTCTGTTCCAGGGAAGAAGGATGGAGAGATGGACCGGAACTTTGACACACTGGACCTTCCCAAACGAACTGAGGCTGCCAAAGGTGAATGGATAAAGAGGCAGAGCTGGGGAGCCTAGGGCTTGTGCTGGTCAGGGATCAAGGCTTTGTGCCATTGAGTAGGCCTGGAAGGGGCTGGAGGGTCAGATATCAGAATTGTCCATCAGAGTTCGATTTCCTAGAGAATAGTTGGGGCTTGGCACCTCCTGAGAGGTGGGGGGGGGGGGGTGTCAGTCAGCGTGCACAGGTGTTTCAGGTAAACTCCTTCACAGTCACTCAGCAAGTGAGAGGTGGTTTGGAGGGATACTGACAGTGACTCGGCTGTGTTACTTCTAGAGAGCATGACCCAGGGGCCAGGCTGTGTGCAAGGGCTTCTGCAGTCCAGGGTGGGTCACCCCCGCTGTCTGTTATGTCTGCTGGGTTTCCAGCGTGCACTGACATAACACTCTGCCTGGGAACTAACCCTAGTGAGAGAAGAGACTGCCTGGTGGGGCCCAGGGTATCAGAAGAACCCAGATGCCCCTAACCAGGGTGTGGATGGGTCCAGGCACAGTAGCCAGCCTGTGTAGATGCCTTGAGAGGATAATGTGTCTGGAGAACTTGAGGAGCAAGAGACCCAGCAGTCTGAAGTGGAGAGTGATGAAATGTGGGGTGTGGGAGTAATGTCCTGAGCTAGGCAGAAGCTCTGGACTAACATAGGCAGGCTTGAAGGCACCTTAGCGCTTATCCTTGAGGCCTTCTGCTGGACGCCACCCTTGCTGCCAGGCTGGGCCTCAGTTGCTGGGGAGCCCGGGATGCAGGGCCTATTGCTGGAGGCGGGGCGCAGCTGTACCATCTGTTACTGGTGAAGGTGGTCCCTATTGTCAGGGAGGGTAGGTGAGCCTTGTGTTTAGGGGTGCTGCCCTGATCATATCCAGGGAAGGTGAGTTCTGTTGCTAAAGAAGTCCAGTGTCCATCTCCCTCTACCATACCTCCTGGATGTGCAGACTACCAGATGAGCCCAGTGTTATTTCTTTGCAAGCAGAGTTAAGGAAGGAATGGCCTGGTCTGCCTGCTCTGTCTCCTGGCTGACCGTCAGTTTGCCCATCTCTGAATGGGGACACTAATTGATACTAAACATGACTTGACTGTTGAGCTCACCCTAGCTCAGAACGATGACTAAGAAGGGGCTGGAGGAGGGGGGAGTTTAACCGTGACCCTGGGCTGCCATTCCCCTATGTCTAGGCTTTGAGCTGCTGTACCAGCCCGAGGTGGTACGTCTCTACCTCTCACTCCTTACGGAGAGCCGGAACTTCAACACCCTGGAAGCTGCAGCTGGTGCCCTGCAAAACCTCAGTGCCGGCAACTGGACGGTGAGGGGTTAGGTCGGCAGGGAGGGCAAGACCTGGGCGGGAGTTCCAGACTCTCCCCTGTTCTGCCTCGAGCCCGCCCTTGCCTCCATCTGGGCCAGTGGGAGACAAGGGACACACTTATCCTCAGGGCCCGGCAGCTCTGAGCACTGTGCCCTGGCCAGCGTGGGTGGTGTGGCGCTGCTGGGGTAGGTGTTGTACAAGGCACCTCCCCTCTGAGCAGTCACCTCTCGTGCCACCCTCACAGTGGGCCACCTACATCCGTGCCACGGTGCGCAAGGAACGTGGGCTGCCAGTGCTGGTGGAACTGCTCCAGTCCGAGACCGACAAGGTGGTGCGTGCCGTCGCCATCGCGCTTCGCAACCTTTCACTAGACCAGCGTAACAAAGACCTCATTGGTGAGGATGCTGAGGGGCCTGACCCAGGACTTGTGAAGTGGGGCAGCTGTTGGGGACAGGTCATTGGAGGACAGGAGTTCAGGGGACCAGACTCGACCCGTGTGCTTGGGCTGCTCCTTCGTTGAGCTGTGGGAGCTTAGGTCTTCCTCCCTTGGTCCTTGAGGCTCAGCCTTCTGCTATAGAGGTTGTGGCAGTTCTATTAATACCCTTTGTCTGAGCACTGCTCCTTCCCCCAGGGGTAGGGCAGAGATGTGTCCTGACATCTGACCCTGCCCCTTAGGGAGCTATGCCATGACAGAGCTGGTGCGGAATGTTCGCAATGCACAGGCACCTGCTCACCCTAGTGCCCACCTGGAGGAGGATACGGTGGTAGCCGTGCTCAACACCATCCACGAGATTGTGTCCGACAGCCTGGACAACGCTCGCTCGCTCCTGCAGGCCCGTGGTGTGCCTGCACTGGTGGCACTTGTGGCTTCCAGGTGGGTGAGGGCAGGGTGGGTTTGGGAGGGATGGAGGAGGACTAGAAGAGGAGGACCGCTGACCCCAACCCTGGCTGCTGCCGCTGCAGCCAATCGGTGCGGGAGGCCAAGGCAGCATCGCACGTGCTACAGACTGTGTGGAGCTACAAGGAGCTTCGTGGAGCCCTACAGAGGGACGGCTGGACCAAGGCACGCTTCCAGGTAGAGCTGCCCTGCCTTCTCTCTCGCTTTGCCAGGTCTGTCCCCAAGCAGGAGTGTCACTGGCCTTACCTCTTTTTGTGTTTTGTGCCTCCTTAGTCCGCTAGCACCGCCAAAGGACCCAAAGGAGCGCCCAGTCCCGGGGGCTTCGATGACAGCACACTGCCACTAGTCGACAAGAACCTTGGTGAGCGCAGCAGGGGAGAGGGACCGGACTTACCCTGAGGCTTAAGGGTAGCGCCCATCTGCTAATGCACTGGGAAGGTGGGGTTAGGGAGATGGGACTTTGCTGTTAAGATGGCTCAGTGCTGGAGGCTTTTTGTGCAGTCAGCCTCCTGGGAACTTGTCTTCTGTGGCTGCCCAGCAAGCCAGGGTGGCTGCCAGTAGGCAGAAGATGGAAAGGAGTGCTAAGCCTTAGAGGGTCACTGAGGACTGTCCTGTGGCGAGCTTGTCTGCCCTGCCCTCCCCATCCTGCCTACTGCTCACAGACAGACACTGCTCATGCCTTGCAGATGGGGAGAAGTCAGCCACCAGAGATGTGATCCCCATGGACACACTTGGTCCAGGTGAGCACAGGTGCACAGGGAAGAGGAGCAGGAGGGACGGCCACCTGGGATGGGGCTGGTTTCGTGCTGGGAAGATGACTAGCTGGTATGGAGGCCTCATGGCCGGTTGGCACTGAGACCGGAAGTCGCCTCTCCAGGGCTTTCTGTGTCTGGGCTGAAGGAAGACCACCTGTCCCTATGGTGCCTTCCCACAGCTCCTCATTCCCTGATCTCTCCTACCCTACAGATGGGTATGCCACAGTTGACCGGAGGGAACGGAGGACACTGGGCAGTGACTCCACAGGGAAGACCTCTGAGAAGGAACTCTTGAAAGTGAGTGGCAGTGAGCAAGTACCCAGGGAGGCTTCATGTTTCGGCCTTGTCAACAGAACAGCCATGTCGTGCTAAGTTTGATCAGGGCTCTGGGACGTGGCTGGGGTGGCACTCACTTGAAGGGCCCAGGAAGTAGCCCATACATCAGGGAGACTGTGGTACTGAGGGGTTCAGTGCACACACCTGTCTGCTACAAAGGAGCCCAGCCACAGCCTGCAGAGGACCAAGTCTGAGCAAGTGGATCTGTACCCTTCTCTTATATGTGTGTGGGGGTAGGGTATCCTCTGTGGTCCCCTGGAAAGGGAAGCACCTGCCACCTACTCTGTGCCAGTATCCTGGCTTCATGTACCAGATCTGGGTCCATCTATGTGCCAGCCATATCTAGTGTGAGCCACACCAACTCCGGAGCCACCCTGTACTGCCTGGGCAGGCCCACATTCATCTCACCCCTTCCTTATCCACATCGACCAGCCTAGCCTGCCCTTAGTTGCAGTTAACCTGCTTTTTTTTTTCTGCTTCTAACTCCTGCCTACTCGCCTTGCACTGCAGCCTGATCCTGGCAGGAAGGCCCCTCCGCCTGGGCCCAGCAGGCCCTCAGTCAGGCTGGTGGACGCCGTGGGGGATGCTAAGCCTCAGCCTGTTGACTCCTGGGTCTAGCTTGCATGCCTGGTACGTTCCTTCATTTGGTTGGTTTTCCTCCTTGTGGAATGGGGCTTCTTGTTTGTCCCTGCTTGCTGCATGTCTGAGCTCACTGTGTGACCCCGGGGAGGACCCAGGAAGACCCATGCTGAACAGGAGAGTCCTCCCAGGACTCACAGCCCTGTTCCAGCCCCCAGGTATCAGGCTCCTGAGGAGACAGGCCCTCTATTTCCTTAAATACCCGCATGATGGGCCCTGTGAGGACCAGCAGGACAGGGCTGGCCCTGTTGTCAAGGCTCTCGGCATGGCCCCCCCTTCCACACACAGCCACTGCTTCTGTGTGGCCTCTGCAGGCAGCTGCCCTGTGTGCAGGCTCCCAAGTCACCCTGCTCCATTTTGTTGGCTCTGTAGCCTGTCGGGTTCCTGGCTAAAGCATCTGTCTTTGTCTTCTTTTGCAGGGCCCTGGCCCAGCTGTTGGTTCTTAGGGATCACATCACCATAGCTGGAAGGGCGGTCCTGAGCAGACCCAGTCCTGGAGCCGGGAGCCCCACCCTTATGTGGCGGGTTGGCCAAGCCTCTTGTCCCAAGCCAGGGCCTGACTTTATGGATCTCCCTGTCTTACCCTCCCCTCTCCTCCACTCTCCTGATCTAACTCTCCAGGCCTGAGTTAGCTGTTTACTGACAAGGTGCTGTGTAGTGGGAGAGAAGGGGTGGGGTGTCCCCATGCAGTGCCACAAAGGAGCAAATATGAGCCTGGAGTGGAGGTCCTGGGGCAGGAAATAGGACAGGTGGGGACTATGGAAAAGAACTTGGTCTCCCAGGGGTGGCTGGAATACTACCCCGCATGCAGGCTGACCACAGTGAGGACTGCTCCAGGAGAGTCCAGGCAGGGAAGTGTAGGAGGCAGATAGCTTGGGGGACAAGCTGTGCTTGCCCCCAGCCCCCATCATGGGTTTCCTGGGACACCCTCCCTCTGCAGTGTACTCTTCCTGAGCTGCCTCTGCTGGGGCCAACCCGGGTCCTACATCTGCCTAGAACCTCAAGTAACCTCGGGCCTGACTGCCAGCAGCAGCGGGGGAACTGTTCCTCAGTGCCTGCTGTTTGTGACTTCAAGATGAAGACGACTGACAAAAAGCATTAAAAAAGAAACCAAAATAAGACTGTATCAGCAAACATTGAAATTTTTGTAAGAAAATTTAAAGATTAAAAGAGCAGCAAAGGAACTTCTTGCCTGTCTTCTGAGTCAGCTCACTAGAGCAGCGCCTGCTCGCCTAGCTACAGAGGAAGAGGGTTAACAGCCACTGCTGCCACCTGGTGGACATTTCCTCAAGTCCCCTGGCAGGGGGGTGGGGTGGTGGGGTGGTGGGAGGCTCTGCCCCTGGCCCTCAGGCCCTGCCCACTCCTGTCCTCCTTGTCTCCTGTTGGCACCCTCAGCCCAGGAAGGGAGCACTGGCTGATTGATGTAGGTCCAGGCGGGATCAGCGGAGGTGGCGCTCATCTTTTCTAGTCTGGAAACAGGCCCCTTCTGAGGCTTGGAGGAGGAAGTGGATGGGTGCCTCCTCAGCAGCTGGGTGCCTGGGCAGACATGGCCTGTGGTCTGAGCCCACTTCCTCCTCTGTAAGTCAGGAAGCAGGGCTGGAGAGATTGTCTCCTGTGTGCCACACAGGAGTGGAGAGCAGCAGGGGACAGCATGGCTCCCCGCTACCTGTCCCCAGGCTACCCAGTCAGAGATGGTGCAGAGGTGGACTGTCGTGTTGTACAGCAGGGAGGAGAGCAGTGTGGTAGCTGAGACAGTAACTGAGTGGATCTCTGGTATCCAAATATTAGGAGCTTGAATTTCTTTGATGATGAAAGATCACGGCATAACTAGAAAACGGGTTATAACTCGGGAAGACTAGAGTCTGTAGCCCTGGCTGTCCGGGAACTCACTGAGTAGCCCAGGCTGGCCTTGAACTCAGAGCTCTGGCTGCCTTTCTTCCTGGGTGCTGGGATTAAAGGTGTGTGCCACCAGCCTGGAGAGCTTATGACTCACTCTCAAGATGAAGGGTGAGTGGCCGGGGACATCTGGTAACAGCCAGACAGCATCTGGATATTCCCAGTCTCCTGACTTCTGGCTGGCCCTAATTGGTGATGGCAGTGCCCAGCGCTCTGGCACTGACCCTGTGAGAATCTCTTAGGTGACACCGGACACCAGCAGGATGACACCTCCTTTGACTTTTTTTTTTTTAATCCCTTTTGTTTTCTGGTGTTTAGGATTAAACTCAAGGCCTCTTGCATGTGGGGCAGGCACTGTGACCAATGCACCTCCAGCTCAATTCAGCCTTTTATCACAGGTGCTTTCCAGGTCTATTGCAGTGGTTTTGGATGGTGAGCTCACTACCTGGAGACTGTGCCAGTGTTGGCAATCTGGAGCCACAGCACTTGAGGACAGGCTGCAGAAGCATAGTGGGGTCAGCATGAGTGTGTGTCATCTTGCAGAAGGAAGCTGGAAGGGGATCTCAGGGAAGGCTGAGTGGTCAAGACTTCATGGGCTGCTTGGACCCTTGTAGAGGGCCTTCTCCAGGCCGTCTACCTTTTCCCTGTACTCCAGGTATGAGCTGTAGTGTGTGCACTCGAACTTGTTGCTCCCCCGCACATATTCCAGGAAGTCAGGGGCTCCCGGGACGATGACATTGTCAGCTAGAAGTACTGTCCCCTTGCGTAACAGGCCATATTCCTGCAGGGGACAGACAGGGAGGGTCATGACTGCTTGGCAAACCCATCGCAATCTAGGGGCAGCTGTTCCCCCATGGGGTCACTTCCAGCTACTGTCCATTCTCCCCAGTATCCAACCCAGCCCTAGAGGGGCCTGTGGGCAACACAGGTTTGTAGGTTGACTGAGATGGTGGGACCAGGAGGCCAGTTTTCCTCAAACACTCTATGCCAAAAATATGGGGTCTTCACCAACAACCCTGACTTTGAGGATCTGTTCTGGACTTTCCACCAGGGCCAGAGAAGATACTAGGTGCCTGGGCTCTGAGTAGGAGGAGGGAGCTGTTTCTGGGCCCCCAAAGCAATGGCTCTAGAGCCTGTGGTTGTGGGAAACCTCCCCTGTAGGGTACTTGTCTATCCACTCTGGCAAGTATGTCTGCTGACAGTGTGACAGCATATAAATAACAAAGTACCTGACAAGGAAGTGGACCTTGTGTGTGTGTGGTGGAGGGGGAGGGAGCGAAGAGGGGCAGGAAGCAGGAAACGGGACACCTGGATGTCTTATTTGAAGGTTACCAAGGAAGCTTAGGGTTTGTTTTTAACATAATCATGAAACAAAAGTTAAAGCAATCCTGTGTGATGTGGCCCACATTTGTAATCTCAGCATTCAGGAGGCTGAGGCAAGAGGATTGAAAGTCCCAGGCTAGCCTGGGCTACATAAGACATTTGTCTTCAAACACATACACACAAAGCAACCCAAAAATGGGAAGTAAGTCCAGCAAATAGCCAGGGCTGAAGTGTAGCTCAGTGGGAACCGCGGCCTAAGGTTCTGTTCCCAGCACCACACACATAAAATCAAAACATCCCCACCATCCTAATGCAGGGCAGTCTGTGCCCTTGCAGAACAGAGCTGTACTCCTAACCACTGTCCAGGGCTCCAGCTGCTCCCAGTGATTGGGGTGGTAATCTCCAACCTGTGCCTGTGAGAGAGCTGAGGGACCCTCAGGCAGTCAGTAAACTCGGGGATAGTCTCATGTGCTACAATGTGAATGAGCTTCCCTCTGAATCCTAGTGAAAGTAGAAGACGATGTCATGTCAGCTCTGGTTGGAAAGACCTTGGTGAAGAACTGCTGTGGAGGAAGGCATCTACCCAGTCCAGAAAGGGGCCCTGGAGTTCAGGGTGGGGAAGAAAGAGATGAGCAGGGGGTCCCGGCTCAGCCAGGGACTTGGAAACATCGAGAGTCACATGGTGACTGTCAGTAAGACTAATGACCTTGAGACCTAAAACTTCCTGATTTCATCATGACAGGAAGGAAGACGGGCACTTTTGGAGGTGCTGGCGACCCGCTGCCCTTCAGGAAACAAGCCCTATCCTGAGGCAAAGGCAGCACCTGTCCTATCTGTATTTGGGTACCATGAGCCTCCTGAAAGACATCTCAGGTGAATGTGCACCTGTGTGTGAGTAACTGCGCTTCTATGCTAAGGAGACAGTGGAGTGCAGAATACTGTAGGGAAGATGTTGTGGACAGGGTCTCACTATGTAACCCAGGCTGGCCTCAAACACGATCCTCCTCCTTCAAGTGCTAAGATTGAACGTGTTCACCACTAAGCCTCGTGGTGAGGTAAGTTGAGTTTATGATCACCATTCTTAAAGGTTTGTCCTCTGGGTTCAGTTCTCTACAAACATACATCTAAGAAGAAAAAGAAGTGCAGCCATCCCCAATGCACCCTGTCTTCAGGAGCTAATTGCCAGGTTGAGCAGCAGCGCTGAGATCCATTAGTTTCTTAGTTACTGAACAGGAGTATTTGCTGTTTTCCTAAAAGCAGGCCCCTGCGATTGTCACACACACACACAAAGCAGCAGAGACCCACTCCCTGCACTGTGCCTGACCGCTCTGCTTTCTGCACTCATGTTCAGTGTCTGCCAGGGATGGGCCTGTCCAAACCAGCTTCCCATGGTTGGCCTGCCCTGCTGGTCTCCTCCGTCCCCTGACTGCCTGCCCTCTTGCTAGAACATTCTCTGGTACAACTTCCTGGCCCTGTTATATATATCCCTGTCTCCCACCATAGTGCTCAGCACCTCTCCAACAGTTTGAAGGACCTCTGAAGTACCCTCCCTATGCACCATCCATGCCTCCACAAGGTCAACAAAAATCCTTCTAGACACCAGGACTCACCCTCCCCCATCCCTTTCCCAAAGCTCATTCATGCCTGACTTTTCCTCTGTGCCCTTACATTCCCCAGAACTATCTGACCCACACCCAAGCCACAATGGCCTGACCTGCCCATGGGCTCGTTGGCTGACCCCTCACATTCTAGAACTCACTGTACATGACAGGGTGTACAACTCTTGAGACAACTGTGGCTGGGCCACACCACAGGGACAGCTCCATGCTGGCTGTGGAAGACTGTGAGGAAGCCCAATGAAGGCCAAGGAGCCCCCTGTGCCTTTTCTGGCCACAGAACAAGGTAATGTCTCCGGAAGCTCGTCACTTGGGAGTGGGGTGGCTCCCCAGTCTTCACTGGGGGTCTCTGCTAGGTGAAGCTGGCTGAGCAGCAGTGCTGAGTGCTGGGAGGGGCTAGGGAAAGTGCACTTGTATAGCCAAAGCTTCAGGAAGATCCAGGACATGCTTGCCATTCCTGTGGCTAGCCCCAGTGGACCCCCAGTCAGACCCATGCTGTGGCCAGTTCTGCTCCCTTGGGGACTCAGAACTGTGCCCTTCAGGCCCAGGTGTTCTAGTCTCTGGTACTCATCTCACTTCCTAGCAGACCCCTGCTTGCAGGGCAGGGAATCCCTGGCCTGGCACTCCTACCCAGACCCCCCTCCCTTCCATTTCCACCTGCCACAGGGCCTCTGCAGCCCACCAGATTCCCAGCCTGTGCCCGGCCCCTTCTATGCTCTTGGGCCACCCACAGTAGGGATCTTCAGAGAGGCCCAGGCCCAGTTACCCCGGCAGTGACGGCACAGAAGCCATCCTGCCAAGCAGGGGCAGCTCAGCTCACCTCCAGGAGACGCGTGTCTGGCAGGTAGCGGTCTTTCCAGTGGTCAAGAAAGACCATGTCTAAGGTGTCCACATCATACTTGGTCTTCAGCTGCGGGATGAGGTCCTGGGATGCCCCAATGAGGATGGTGACCTGGAACAGTATTCTGTCAGTGCTGTGCCCACAGGGATATGCAGGAGCCTGCCTGGACCCCCACATGTGTATACATCAATTTCTTCAGGGCTCTGGAGAGCAGTCTGTACTGTGTAGTCTCTCCTGGGGCAGTCTGGGAGTTGCTGGCTCTGTAGGACAGGTCAGTGAGACAGTGCCCTAACCTGCTGGGGTTTCTTCCTTTGATATGGCAGGTGCTTAGTGACTGAACCAATCCCCTCACCCTCCCTACTGCCCGCTCAGCCCTCCCAGCCACAGCTGCCACACTGGTTACAGGGTCCTACTTTGTCCCGCAGGCCTGCCAGGTTCAGCATTTGCTGGGTGATGGCAGCATAGTCAGGGTTCATCTCCATGGTGAGAAGCCGGCCTCCAGGTGGCAGCAGGCGCGCTATCCTTGTGGCTGAGTAGCCACAGTAAGCTCCTAGCTCCAGCACCAGCAAGGGCTTGTACTCCTGAATCACTGCATCCAATATTTGGCCTAGAGGGTGTTGGGGAAGATATGAATACAAGCAGGAGGGGAACCCCACCCCCAGGTCTGGGTCTCACCCCTCTCTAGACCCGTAACATTCCCACTTGTCTCATGTTCCTAACTGCTGCTGAGAAAGGTCTTTAGCCTCCTGATAGCCCAGAGGACCTCACTATACATACCCTTGGAGAGTCCTCTGCCTTTTGCACACACACACGCCCCCCCGGCCCACTCCTGCAACCCCTCTACCTAGTTCCTTCATGTGTAAATGTTATTGTCTCTAAGGGGCATGACCCATGATTCCCTCTCCCCTTTAACAGGCTCCCCTCAGGCTGGACCGCCACGTCCAGTTCTGGGTTTCCATTTCTAGGCAACCGCCTGCAGGCTGGGCCACATACCTTTCACGGCACCCACATGCATGGCCCTCTCCTTCTCTGAGCAGTAGGTGTCAAAGGCATCCATGACGCTCTGGGGGTCTCCAGGCTTGGCATGCTGCTGCACATAGTTAAGGATGCGCTGTTCCTTTGTGTCACCCATGAGGAGCTTGGGGACTGGCTGTGCACAAACTCAAACCAGAAGATGGTTACCAAGGCCCAGCCCAGGCGTCGCAGGAACAGGAGGAGGGCCAACAACAGGACACCCAGTGAGAGGACAGCCAACAGTATCTGCAGGACCAGAGCAGGGTAGACAGGTTTATGTGCTGTGTGCCCTTCCTGCCTCACTCATCACGTGCTCATCTTACTGCACCCATTGGTCCTTGTGCTAAAGGAGGGCCAAGGTCCAGAGCATATACCCACATGACTCACTGGGTCAGAGCCCTGTGTGGAGGCCAGTGAGACATGGATCCCAACCCTGGTTGCTTTCTCAGTGAAGGAGGTGTCATCTCACACTGAACTGGCATTCTGACTGTTTCAAGCTGAAAGAGGAATTGTGGGTGCACGATGGGCCACATGACCTGTCTGTTCCTACATGCAGCAGAATGTGAAGATTTCTTGGGAGGGGGTCCTCTGTTACCTACACAGAACAATAGCCTTCATCAGCAGAAACTGTTCATGGGGCTGGGGACCCAAGTAAATGATCTCACTGGAGTAATGCTCATTTTCCAGCTGCATTCACAGCCCCTTAGATGACCAAGTGACATCCTTAGATTCACAGAGATTTGTGTCCTGTTTCTCCCTACAGAATTATCACTTTGCCTCATAAAGCAGGGAAGCTGTGGCCCTTGTTCTTAATTTCCTTTGGGTTGTGGATGGCACCTTGTGTGCTCAAGGCAGGCACTCAACTACTAACCTGCATTATCAGCCCGATTTCTTGAGCCAGGCTATATAGCCCAGGCTGGTCTTGAACTCATAATCCTCTTGAGGGCTGGGATTACAGGTGTGTGGCACCATGTCCAATGTCATTTCTCTGGTCCACATCTCCTTGTGAAAATCTCCAGGGCTGTGCAACATTAATACAACACATGTGCTCTCCTCCTGCTGTTCAGCCTTGTATTGACTGATTCGCTTGGCTGAAGACCCACAAAGGAACTAAGGGAGATACTTGGATCGACTGAAGTAGGGAACAGCTCCAGATTCCAGATCCTCTAAGATGATGTAAAAAGGCTGGGTGAGCTCAATAGTCAGTGCTTATGTAGCACACGAATGGCCCCGAGTTCTGTCTCCAGTACAAAGTGAGTGGGAGTGAATACGATCACACACACTCACCTTCTAGCAAGCAAGAGCTGGGGAGAGGAGCCCAGGATCTAATCGACAAAGCTCAACAGATTCCCACGCTGACACTGAGCAGAGTTCACTATTCACAGCACAAGCTCATGATTTATACCGCATACCGTAACAGAAAGACACAGGGAAGGACCCAGGGACACTTCCACCAAACACTCTGTGGCCATTTACAGTTCCTTTGGGAGCGGGCACTGACCTCAGCTGGAAAGGCTTGTGGAAGTCTTAAGAGGAGGCAGGCCCAAGCCTTAGGTGTGATGGCTGCTTCAGGACAGTCTCAGGAGAGAGAAGAAGCGACCGAAAGCTGAGGGATCATGGGCACTGACCCATGGACATGACACTGGCTTCCTTTCACTCCTTTCTTATGGCTTAGATTTCCTAACACATGCTTGGGTGTCGAAGTTTATGTTGTCTATTATCATTACTAGAAGTAGCTTTTGAGTTGTGAGACATTGAGCTATTTTGTTCTATCTGTCTGTCTGTCTGTCGATCTGTCTAACTCTGTAGTGTGTAACATAACATGCATAAAGTTTTAAAAACTGGGGGCGCAGGGGGAGGCTGGGATGCAGTTCCGCTGGCAGAGTGCTTGCCTGGCGTTCAGAAAGCCCTGGGTTCCAGCCACACCAGCTTAGCACGGTGGCACAACATTCAGGAGGTGAAAAGAAGTTCAAGATCATCCATGTGAGTTTAAGGACAGCCTGGAAAACATAAGATCCTGTCTCAAAAGGGGTGGGAGTGGGGTAACAAGGAAGACCCAGAAAACCTTGTAGGGAAGGGTCTTAACAACATCAGTTATGGTTACTGAGGAAATTCGTATCAAAGCCAGGCTGGAAAGAGAACTTCACTGTCACTGAAATGGCTCTTTTCTGGGTGGGACACCGGGGATCGTGCACAAGGCTTTACTTACCTTGAGACAGCTTGTCATTAAATTGCCCAGGCTGACCTTGAACGTACTCTGTAGCCCAGGCAAGCCTTGAAATATACTTCCTGCCTCAAACCCAAGTAGCAGGGGCCTGCACCACCAGGCCTGATTGTTTTCTTTCTATTTTATTTTTTTTATTTATTTATTTTGTATACAGTGTTCTGCCTGCACACATCCCTGCAGGCCAGAAGAGGGCACCAGATCTCATTACAGATGGATGTGAGCCACCATGTGGTTGCTAGGAATTGAACTCAGGACCTTTGGAGGAGCAGCCAGTGCCCTCCCTTAACCTCTGAGCCATCTCTCCAGCCCCTTCTTTCTACTTTAAAGTAAGATAATAAAGTTGGTTAAAATATGAAAAAACTGGAACCCTTGCACACTGCTGAGATGAAAACTGGTGGGAACAGTTTGATTCCTCCAGAGCCATCCCAAGAAACACCACATAACAATGTTGTGCAGCCCGAGCTGAGAGCAGGGCCGCAGGGCTGTGTCTGCTCTTGTTACCAGCACGTGACTCACAGACCCACAAGTGGAAGCGACCCCAAGCTTCTCTAAGCTGAAGAACTTCACAGTCATCCAGACACAGAAGAGCAGATACCACAGGAGTCCACAACCAGGCTGGAAGCAGATCAGCCACTGAGGCTGAGGAGGGGGAGGGAAATTGTTCAGTGGGTTCAGAGTTACAGTGCAGAAAGATGAGAACGTTCTGGTAAAAGTTACGCAATACTGTGAATGCCCTTCGTGCCAGACAAATGGCCAAGTCTGGTGTTTGTATCCTAAACTTATTTACAAAATTGCCAGGGGGTTGACTGGAAAGGGATGTTAATCATCTGCTTAAAGGCTGTCTATGCTGAACCCTGAGCTGCGTACAGCTCATTCACAGTGTGTGTTTAACACATGTCCCCTGCATGTCTGATACACTCAAGTCCCTGGATGTCAGAAGCTTGATCGAGATGCTTAATAAAACCCGGGGCACCCATGCACACATTAGGGTCTGGGTTAGATTCTTCACTGTTATCAACTATTGACTTTGGGTTAGTACAAGGAGAAGTAAGCTGAGCCAGTTACTCTTCAGAATGAGCTTTATTAAGAGAACGCCTCAAGCCGGGCGGTGGTGGCGCACGCCTGTAATCCCAGCACTCAGGAGGAAGAGGCAGGTAGATCTCTGTGAGTTCAAGGCCAGCTTGGTCTACAGAGTGAGATTCAGGGCTACACAGAGAGAGCCTGGAGATGGGGCTGGGAGTAAATCCGGAGCATTATGACAACATTGGGAGCTACAGCATTAAGTGGAAGAGAGGAAGGCATGATGTACAGTCTGGGATGTGAACCAGGTACTGGACTGAACCATAAACTCCCCTTATAGCTGTGAGGGGACGGGCTGCAAGGCCCCATCAGGGCTTCTGAACTACTCTGGCTAAGAGGGAGAAGGTCTGGAAGGAGAGAAAAAAACAGGAAAGGAAGGGGAGGAGACGGGGAAGCCTGAGCTTGGTGGTGCACATCTGTAGTTCCAACACACAGGAGGATGAGAGGAGGGTCAGGAGTGAGTTCCAGGCCTGGTCTACATAATGCGTTCCAGGCCATCCAGTGCTGCACAGTGACACCTGTCTCAAAAGCCCCAGGCCACATGAGATTCTGTTTTTTAGAACAGGAAGAGACCACTTGCCTCCATGATAGCCTGCAGGCACCACTCCATCCCCTACTGCATCTGGATGCCTCCGGCTGTCATCTTAAAGAGGAACAGCAGGGCTGGAGAGATTGCTCAGTGGTGAGGAGCACTAGCTGTTCTTCCAGAAGGCCCGGGTTCAATTCCCAGCACTCACATGGCAGCTCACAACTGTCTCTAACTCCAGCTCTTGAAAATCTGACACCCTCACACCAATGCACATAAAATAAATTTAAATAATTTTAAAAAAGCAAAAACAACCACGAAATTATTTTTAAAAGGAGGAGGAGGAGGAGGAGGAGCAGGAACAGCAGTAATGGAGCTGGGACACTTAAGTCTGCAAATACCACCTGAGCTTTCTCTGTGTAGAAGCCTCTAGCCAGGCTGCTGCTGCATCTCCGGGCATCCGGACACAGGCTTTCTGAAGGGTCCCTTGCATTCTACAGGCTGCACTCTGCCTCAGATCAGATCTGTTTCCTCCAAGATCAAGATGCTCTTTGACTGAGCAGCAGGGAGGCCAAGAGGGAGACTTGTGGGTAATCATGGAGGCAGGAATCCCAAGTCTAGTCTTAGGACAGGTCCTTGGGGCCTGGTACATCTCTCACTGCCAACCAGTTCTCTCCTCTGTAAACTGAGGTGAGATTTCCCCCAGATCCTGCAGGATTGAGGGCAAGGCAGGACAGGTTACATAGCACCTGGTACCTGCTGGCCACAGACATGCCCAGGAAGCACAGAGCATCCATCCAAGACATGTGTAGTCTGGCCTAATGAACCAGCCCCTGGGACAGTAATAAGCCCAGCTTAGATGCCTCCAGGACTGAGCAAACATGGGCTCCTGTATACCTCAGATGGCAACTCCTCCCTTCCAGCGCTGCAGATGGACCCTCAAGAGCATGCACACAGGCATCCTATCAGTCAGTCCCCTGCATTCCCCATCATTTAAAGAGAAAGCCAGACATGTGGCTCATGTCAGCAACCCAACAGTTAGGAGACCAAGGCAGGAAGCTTACCAGTTTAAAGCTAAAGAGCTATACAGTGAGCCCCAAGCAGCTGTGGCTACACTGTGAGCCCCTACAGGTGCATCCCAGGAGTTACACAGGCCTACTGCATCAGTGCGCTCCAGATGAGTAAGAGAACCTGTCTCAAAAAATAAAGTGGGGTCTAGATATGACTCGGCAGTTAAGAGCACTGCTCTTCTACACCACCAAGGTTCTCAGCACCCACACGGTGGCTGACACCTGTAATTAGAAATCCAGACGATCCAATGTCTTCTTCAAGCCTCTCTGACACTATACCTACCTACATACAAACATGCTATACAGCTACACAGACACACAGGCGGGCAAAACACTCATACACATTAAATAATAAAAAAAATAGGGTAGAGAGTGAGGAAGACAGCTGATGGTGATCTCTGACCTTGACATGCATATGCATATGTACCCACACCCACACCAACTCATGCACATACCACATACACACAAACAACCCTCAAATGAATAAGGCTGAGACATGTAGCTCATGTCTAACATGTTTGAAGCTCTGGATTCAAGCTTTAGTATGACATAAAAGTGGCTATAATGACACATATACCCAGTTCCAACACTCGAGGGTGAAGGCAAGAGAATCCAAAGGTCATCCTCAGCTATGTAGCATATTCAAGACCTGCCTGGGCTCCATGAGAACCTGTCTCAAAGCCTCCTCAGTGCCCAGGGAAGGGCTCTGCCCTCCTCTGCTTTCTTCTCAAAGCCAGCCCCTCGTGTGATCTAAGGCCTCTATTCTGCACAGGCACTTTCACAGTGCAGCTGATCCTGCCCCACCACAGGATTCTTTTTTTTTTTTTTTTTTTAAAGTTTTTTTTATTTATGTATTATGTATACAGCATGTATTCCTGCAGGCCAGAAGAGGGCACCAGATCTCATTACAGATGGTTGTGAGCCACCATGTGGGTGCTGGGAATTGAACTCAGGACCTCTGGAAGAGCAGTCAGTGTTCTTAACCTCTGAGCCATCTCTCCAGCCCCCACCACAGGATTCTTGAGAGACCCAGTATGAGGGGCAGGCCTGCTTCCCCTCTCAGCAGGAAACAGGCCTCCAGAGAGGATGCTGAAGGGCAGAGAGGCCTTGTCAGGCCAGCTGGGGTGATGTTCTCCATCTGGGAAGCTGCCATTTCAGGCAGCTCGTGGGCTGGTGACCAACGAGGACCCCAGCAGCTGTCCCTTTGGCCAGGCCTGGTTCCATACCACCTAATCCACTGCATGTGACCTAACACTGACCTTTTCACCTCACTCACTACAGAGTGTATGGCCACACACACACACTCCCACCACACACCCTGGGCCCCATCACACCAGCATCTCGACAAAGATTCTCTCCCTACATCGAATCTAGCCAGGTCCTTTGTGTTTTTTCTGACCCAGACCTCCACCTTGGCTGAAGGGAGTAGAAAGAAACCTGAACCTAGTTCCTAAGTGGCTCAAAGAGACACCCTTAGGATGACCTTAGCTCCGTCAGTGCCTCCCGGAGAAAACCCCAAGTTTCCAAACAAATACTCTGGGTGCCACAGCCAACACCCACAGGTAAGACTGTTGTCTCCCAGCCTCGGTAACTAACCTGTGAGGGGCCTGGCCGGACTCTCCATCCTTTCTTCCCTTCACAGTGCTGGGTGGTGTACTATGTAAGTTCTACCACTGAGCACACCCCACCTAGGAGCAGAAATTTCCTAAGCCCGAGGACAAGTCTAAGTGGGTCCCCATGAACCGATTCTTCCTGCTTTCAGCATATTCCCATTTCCCAACTCTGCTCGAGCCACAGTTCCTCCTTCCTATTTTTCCCTCCATGCAGGTTTCATGTAGCCCAGGCTGGCCTCAAACAAGCCACCTTCCAGTCATCTTTCCCCTCTGCTGCTCAAGGTCTGGGAGTACAGGTGTGAGCCACCATGCCCTGCACAGGCTGTGCTGCTCCTGTGCGGCCAGGACTCAGACTGGCCAGTCTCGCCATCTCAGACAGCTACATCCCACTTCCGGTTGTCCTGCCGATAGCTGAGAGATCCCTGGGTCCAAGGCTTCAAACAAACACCCACTGTCCCGATGAGGACAGACTGTTTCTCCTCTCCCACTCACGGGAAGCCAGGTTGCTCCTGACCTTCCTTTCTCTCAGGCTGAAGGTTTCTGGCTCATGGTTCCAAGTGACAACTTAAGCTTTGGGTTTGAGGTTGGACGCTTGTCTTCCTGCCTCCTTGTAAGTCCTTTTTGTTGTCACTGTTTGCTCCTAAGTCCCCCATGGGTGCTTCTCAGCAGCCAGGACATCACCACTGTGTCAACGCACAAAAACACCACTATGCAACCAACACCGCCCCCTTTTCCGTTGATGTGGCTGTCAACGATCACCTGAAGCACCAACGGTCTGGGGAAAGTTAAGGCCTCACACTCTCCCCGCAGCTGTCTTCTCTAGGATGCCTTCCCTGCCATTACCCCCACTCCAAGTTCCTTCGTTTGTGGGGAGGAGACTAGGATGGAGCCTGGAGGCCTCCACACACTAGCAGGCACAGACACTGGACACTGAGCCATGTCCCACAGCTTCCATCCCCCCCCCCCCACCCCCGGGCACCCTAGCATCATCTCATAGGTTCCCTGTCATGGCCAACGTCCACTACCATGCCAACAGACAGGGCCTCACTACCCCAGCTGCTCAGCTCTCAGTGGTCTCTAAAATTTGGCCCCTTACTCTAGCAGGAGTTCTAAGGATTTGGGGTTCCACCAAAGAAACCGCCTGAAGTTGAATAATAAGAAGAAACAAATTTCAGGGTTGAGATGCAGCTCACAAGCAATGTGTACACATGGCCTACTTGGGACCCCTTGATTCTGCCCCCAAACAAACAAGTATACTGTGTTCCATGTATACACGGGGTGTGCACTGTATGTGTGCAAGCCAGACATTGACATTGGGTCTCCTATATTGCTCCTCCTTTTTTTTTTTTCTTTTTTCTTTTTTTTTTTTTTAAGTAGAGTCTCTTGTTGAATGTGGACCTTGCAGAGAGCTGGACCAGCTGGCCAGTGAGCTCTGGAGATCAGCCTATCCTCAATCCCATCCCTGGAGATGCAGGTACACACCATCTTGCCCATTTTTGTTGTGGGACGGGTTCTGCACTCAGGCCCTCACATTGTGTGACAAGCACAATACCCACCAGGCCATCCTCCTGGGCTTTCTTCCCTTTTTGAGACAGGGTCTCCAGTAGCCTAGGCTGTTCTTGAACTTCTAGTGGCTGATGATGACTTCCTGATCTTCCCCTCTCCACCCCCTGTCTGCTGAAGTTACAGATGTGGGACACCTCCCCCTCCCCTTTCTCTCTCCACGCTGGGTCCAAATCTGCAGCTCTGTCCGCCAGGCAAAGCAAACGCTCTACCTTTGAACTACACAGTTTTAGATGTACCGAACGATATAAAAGTTTGTGTCTGACTGATTTTATAACTTTTCTTTTTTAAATGTGTGTGTATGGCTCATGTCCTCTGAGAACAACTTTTGGGAGTCAGTTCAAATCCAAGTCATCAGGCTTAGAAGCAAGCATTGTAACCACTGGACACCTCACCAGTCCGACACTGGGTTTATATAGTAACAAGTATGGAAATTGTAAATTATGTATGAGCTAAAATATAGCAAGACCATCTAAATTTATTCTATTTTACTCCTTGTGTTTCATATAAAGACCCTCAAGAAGCAAGAAAGGGTTTTCATGTCTTTCAAGGAGTGTTATCTCAACTCGTAAACGGATTTTGGCAAAAATTTTTTTAAAAAAGTTCGTGTCTAGTTATCAAGTTATTAAACATATTCTATCCACATTATAAAATTGTATCAAGTTTGGGTGTAGTGGTGCTCACCTTTAATACCAGCACTTGGGAGGCAGAGGCAGACAGATCAAGGTCATCCTGGTCTCCATAGCAAGTTCCAGGACAGCCAAGGCTACATAAAAAGACCCTGCCTAAAACAAAGAAAATCACCAGCAGCTGGGGAGACTGAGCCAATTCCCAGAATCCTTAGAAAAGCCAGGCCTGGTGGAGTATGCTCACAGTCCAGTCTGCGGAGGAAGACAGAGCAGAATCTTTTGACTCACTAGGCAGTCAGCCCAGCCTATTTAGAGAGCTCCAGGCCAATGGGAGACCCTATCTCAAACATCTAGATAGATGGTTCCTGAGGATCCACACCCAAGGCTGTCTTCTGCCACATGCAGATCTATAGCAGGAATCTAAGAGAGTCTTATTAATAAAATCAAACCCGGGGCCAGTTATTGGGGTGAAATGCTGGAGGGTCAGAGAGACAGAACAAGCCACAGCTAACCTCACCTGGCCAGCTTCTCAGTTGATGTTGTTTCCTCAGATTGGAAGCCTCTGTGTCCTCATATCCGAATGGCTCTCAGCTGAATTGTGCTGCTAGTAGCCTGAAAGCTTAACCAGCCAAATGTCTGCTAGTTTGTGGTCCTCACGCCTTATATACCTTTCTGCTTTCTACCACTATTCCCTGGGATTAAAGGCTCGCTTTCTGGGATTAAAGGCGTGAGTCACCATGCCTGGCCGTTTCCAATGTGGCCTTGAACTCACAGAGATCCAGAGGGATTTCTGTCTCTGGAATGCTAGGATTAAAGGTGTGAGTGCCACCATTTTCTGGCCTCTATGTCTATCTAGTGGCTGTTCTGTCTCTGACCCCAGATAAATTTATTAGGGTGCACAATATTTTGGGGAACACAATACCACCAAACAGATCACAATATTTCCAGAGATTGAGATGATGAACTCGTGTACTGTACTAATCTCCTACAGAGCCTGGTATGAGATAAACTAGTAATTGTACTTCCTGGTTTGTATGTAAGATCCATGTTAAAAATGTCTAAAAAATATGAGTTGAGGACACAGTCTAGTGTAGAGCATGTGTGTAGTATGTATACACAATGTCCTAGGTCCCATTCCCAGCAACACACACACACACACACACACACACACACACTAGAAATTTATACATAATCTGTACATCATATGTAATCTGCTGAGAGCCAGGCTGAGCCAAGGCTTTCTTAGATGCCCCGATGAAAGGACAGAAGGAACCTAGTTGGGGCTGAGATAGCCTGTTTTCCCCTTGTGCAACATTCTTTGATTAGGGTCCTGCTGGCTGTGTCCTGTTGTATGGTAGCTTTCCACCGACTCTGCCCCGTTTACCCCTGCAAATAGTATATAATAGATGCTGTACCTCTTTAAAAACTTGCTTAGTATAGGACACAGCTTATGCAAACCTCCTGAGCCCACCTGTCCTATCTGCCTTATCTTTGATTTCCTGGTCCTTCTTCCTCAGGGCCCTGTTACTGAAGAACTTCCTGGTGTTAGAATTCTGCCCTCACTCCAGCTACATGACCGAACATGCACACATGCACAGTTCAGGAGTTTAGCAAAGGTTCTTGTGTCTTATGTCGTTCGTGCGTGCTGGTGATCATGTCCATGCGATGTGGATACACAACCTGCGCCTTAAAGAGCAGTGACTCAGACCCCCCCCCATTCTGTTCTGCTCTCTTGCCCCACCTCTCTCTCTTTCTCTCTCTCTCTCTCCTCCCCAGGCCTGCTTCTCCTCTCTCCCCTCCCCCCTTTCCTCCTAATAAAGCTCTAAAACTAAGACTGGGTTCCGTGGAGACAGTGACCTTTCCACACAGTAAACAGTTCCGCCACCAGCGCTGCTTATCCTTCATTTCTTTGGTGCCGAGACTCGGATTTGGATGGGCTATTCCGCCACTCTGCGTCCAGGATTGAGCGTTTGGAAACCTATACTGCAGTTCACTGGACCTGCGATTGCCCGCTCTGCTTTTTTCATTTGCCCAACCGCCTGACCGCTCCACATACACCACACGTGTCGCCAAGATTGGTAAGTCCCCCATCACTTCCTGTATCTGTAGCCTGAGTTATATTCCGGGGATCCTCGACTGCATATCAGAACACATTCAATCTTGACGAAGTATTGGATGCTGTCTGGGCCCCGGGGGTCGGTCCTCCAGTACGTACCAGCCCTTACCCTTATCTTAATGGCGGTTTGGGTAATTTGTGCTGTCATGCCCGTCCACAGACTGCCTACTCTCAAGGACGCTTGAAATAGGAGCCTAGGGATCCCGTCTGTTATTTTAATTTTTTATTTTTCTCGCTTGGCACTGCAGCCATGGGACATAGGGGCTTCCTTCTCGTGGTTCCATTCCTCTTCTGACAAATGCATTAAATATCCCCAGATATCAGTAAATTTGGCAGTTTCAACCCCGATATTTCACGAGAATTATCTAACTTCTTCCAGCAAATGGGCAAATGAAAAGAGTTACCTTATCCCCACTCTTTTACCTAAGCTCTAAAGTCCCTCACCCTTTCTGACTCTCTCTCCTGATCACGTGAATTCCTAAATCTAAGGAATCTCTGACTCCAAAGAACCTTATCTTATCTGTTCTCCACTCTGTTCTCTGCTCTCCAGTATTGGGAGGCCCCTTCTGCCCAACCCTGGCTCTCACCTTAACTCACCTTAACTCCTCCCACTCATTCTCAAGCTGCCCTGAGAAGCACAGACTGGTCTGAAAGCAGGCTAGGATGCATGCAAATAAGTTTACGATCAGGACCCACATGGGGATCACAGTAATCCGGATGGCTCTTTAGCCAGAGATCAGTTCACATCCTGCCTCCTGGTGGGTCTTCCTAAAGCTGTCCCCAAGCCAGCAAACATTAAAAAAAAAAAAAAAAAAAAAAAAAAAAAAAAAAATTCAAGACACGGAAAAAAATCCGTCTCTTGTTTCCCAGAGCTCCCTGACATTAGGGCTAAAACTTAAGCAGCTGGAGAGCAAGGCTCCTGACCACACAGGCAGAAGTTTCAGCTGTAGCATTTAAGGTGTACCGGGGAGAGATGACAAAGCCCGAGAACAGAATTGCCAAGTGCTGGCACACGCTGTCCAACTGGCTCCTGAAAGCCGCTGGGTCCCTTTTTTAAGTGCTAGTGCGTGCCCTGCCAGGCCATCAATTGAGCCTTGTTCAAAGTGCCACCTAGAGAGACAACTGATCAGCTGAATGCACCCAGGACTGTGGGGCACGGGAGCATCACGCTAAGACCTCCAGCAGACCTAGGCCTGGCCACAGGCTTGCTCCCAGGGAACCCAGAACGCAGCATGGAAGCAATCCGTTTCCTTCCTTCTGGACACCAGAGCCACTAACCCAGTGCTGGGAGTTTTGGGGTCTCACCTCTCCTCGTTTCCCCATTGTCAGGGTAGGGAGGACAGCCTCACACTGCTCCCCAACACCCCCCTCCCAGATTTAATTGTACTTTCAGGGTTACTTAATGGGAAAAGATTTTCCAGCTAAGGCAGGACCTTTCACTTCATTGCTCCCTCCATGTGCCTCACTCCAGACTGTCACAGTGCTTCTCCTCCTCCTGCACACAGACAGGGCCCTGCTCTCTGCCTTGTCCCTAATTCAAACATAATGAGTTCTCACCCCACAAGTTTTCGCTTCCTGGTTCACTCTTCTAATTAACTGCTCAGGTAATGGTTACATAACCACAAAAGAACTGGAGTCCAGGGATCATCCAGTAAGAAACTGTAACAGTTAAAAGGTATTTACACCCCCAGACCCAAAAGTGTCTGGGCTCTGCAAAAACAGACTTTAATATAACAATCTATCACTGTTAAATGCTCTCAACAACCTGTGTCTCCTGGATGCTAAACTAATAAAGGAAACAGGTGTCTTAAAATAATCTGCCTCTGATAAAAGTATATCTCAGGTTAAAAAAATTAAAAAACATGCTCCAATCTCTCTGTCTCTCTCATTAACGCTAACCAATACAAGCAGAGTACCAAACACTACAATGGTCATCAGCCCAAGACTTTAATTTTCTCAAGGCTGCATCATAATATGTTCAAAATTTTTGTAAGCTCCAGAAACCAGCTTGAATCCATCTGGACAGGTTGATCTACTTCAGATAAGTGCAACCCAAATTCCTGGTCCTGGGACTCCCCTTCCCTCACCCTGAGACCTCCCTGAAGGTAATTTTTTTTTCTTCCTAAGCTTTTCTCTGTCTCACCAGCATCCTGTCCATCAGAAGAGCAGCCAGAGTGCCAAGCCAAGAAAGATGAACAGCTCTGAGGCAGCAGGACAGCCCAGCATCCCAGGACCCCTGTCTACCTCAGAAGCTCCCTTCCCTACCCACCAAGAGTCAACCGACGACCACCAAGTCAGCTGGAAGCAGTTTTGGGGGGAGAAACAAAACCCCTATTCCTATTCACCTGCTTTTTTATAATACGCAAAAAGTCTAGAATGTTAGGATTCTGCCCTTACTCCAGTTGCATGACCACACATGCGCAGTTCAGGAGTTAAGCAAAGGATCTTGCAGCTTATGTCACCAGTGTGTGCTGGTGATCACGTACCCGAGGCATGGTCACACAATCTGTGCCTTAAAGAGCCATGACTGAGACCACACCTGCCCTCTCACTCTGTTCTGCTCTGTCTCTTCCACACAATCTTTCCCACTCCTCGCACCTGGTTCTTCGCCCCCACCCCTCCTCATCCTAATAAAGCTCTAAAACTAAGACTGGGTTCTGTTGTGAACATGACTTTTCCACTCGGTAACCAGTGCCACCACCAGTGCCGCATATCATTAATTTCAGCTGGTCCTGGTCAAAAATCAATATATGACAATAAAACCATAGGAACAAGGGCTGGAGAGCAGGTTGGTGGCAGTGTCTTTAACCCCAGCACTTGGGAGAAGCAGATCGATCTGTACATGAATTCCTTTTCTTTCTTTCTTTTTTTTTTTTTTTTTTTTTCCGGTTTTTTGAGACAGGGTTTCTCTGTGTAGCACTGGCTGTCCTGGAACTCACTCTATAGCCCAGGCTAGCCTCGAACTCACAGAGATACACCTGACTCTGCCTCCCGAGTGCTGGGATCAAAGGTGTGCACCACCACCATCCAGCTATATAAATGAGTTTCTAAATGGTCTTATTAAATTAAAAAAAAAAAAAAAAAGGAGCCAAACATAGGGGTGAAAGCCTTAGATCAGGGTAATAGGAAAGCCACCAGCCAACCTTACCTCACCAACTCTGCAGCGTCCAAATGCAAGTTCCTTCCTGTCTACCCAAGCCTTTATTGCCTTGCTGTTCTGCCCTCTCATTGGCTCTCTTAGCCAGCTACTTCACTTCTGTTTCCTACAGAGCTCTGTCACTTTCTGTCTGTACAGACCTCCAGGCGTCTGTGGTTGGTAATGGGATTAAAGACGTGTGTCACCACAATTAGCTCTGTTCCCCACCCAGTGTGGCCTTGAACACACAAGACCCTGCCTGCTAAGTGACAGAATTAAGGGCTTGTGCTGCCTGAGCTCTTGTTTACTTAAAATGGCTGGACTTTCCCCCCTGATCTCTAGGCAAGCTTTATTTATTAATATACACATTTTATATCACCATATTTCAGCACAAATAAAATATCACCACACTGATCTTTGTGAGCTCAAGTCCAGTCTGATCTCCATAGTGACAAAAGCCTCCAAAAATTAAAAATTAAAAAAGAATTAAGGACATGGAACTAAGTAAAAAGAAAGAAAGACTTAAGCTTGAGTGCTGTCATACAACACATTGCTGCTTCATAGGTTTCTATGATGCATCTGCTGGTATAAAAAGAAGCTGGTTTCTCTTGAGCTATTCATGACTCCGAACTATTCAGTAAATTATACTTTGTTAAACTAAATTGAAACATGTATCTATTCCTCATTGTCTGATCCCTCCAAATATCAAAACTTGTCAAGTACTTCTTTCATGGTAAAGCTCCTTGCATAGCTGCAAGGGGATCTATGTCCTCCCACAGCAGACCCAAGTGCAAAGCAGAGGAGCGCTGCTGACAGGAGTGTCCCCCTGGAGAATGATTACCCAGAAGCAGGGAGCGCCAAGGGCTTTAAGGAACTAAGTCTGAATTTCTTGAGCCAATGTTTACAAAGCCCTCTTGAAAAACCTCGCTGGCTGAGAGTTCACAACTTAGCAAGCTCCAAGTTAGCAAGGTACATGAAGAGATTGTCTCAAAACAAAACAACTCCATGTTGTACTTTAAAACAAACAAATATGCACCAAACCATGGGATATGGTGGTGCACAGCTTTGATCCCAGCTCCCTGGAGATAGGTAAATCTCTGAGTTCAAGGCTAGTCTACAGAGTGAGTTCCAGGACTTCCAGGGCAACACAGAGAAACGCTGTCTTGAAAAAAGAAAGTAACAAGCAAGTAAATATATAGAAAGAAAAACTTTCTGATTTTATTAGAATTGGCCTGCTTATTCATACCAGTGCAGTAAGAATAGTAATTGGCCTCAGAAGTCCACAAAGAATTTTAAACTTTTCAAAAGCCTCTGAAGGCTCACAAGTGTCCCAGAACCTGCCATCAGACCTCAATGCAGTATCCACAAATTTGGGTGTACCTTGTTCTTATTGAGGTCAAAGTATCCTGAGGTTGCTGTGCTTGCCTTGAACTCACAAAGACTTGATTGCCTCTGTTTCCTTAGTGCTGGAATGAAAAGTATGCCCAGTTACAAATCTTTCTTATTTTTATTTATGTGTCTGTGTGTGTTCCCAGAGAGAAGAGGGCTTGGATATCCTGGAGCTGGAGTTACAGGTAGTCATGAATCACCTGATGTGGGTGCAGGAAAAAAAAAACTCAGGTTCTCTAGAAGAGCAGCATTTGCTCCTAATCTCAATCCATCCCTCAGAACCCAAAGTTTTTGAGACAGAGTTTCTCTATGTAGCCCTGACTGTCCTAGAACTTGCTCTGTGGACCAGACTGACTTCAAACTCAGAAGTTTGCAAGTCTCTGCCTCCTGAGTGCTGAGATTAAACGTGTGCACCATCACCACAGGCTTAGAATTCTTTTTCAAACAATAACCATGGGCTGCGGTGGAGCTCAGTGGTATAGAGGGTTAGAACACACCAAAGCCTTGGGTGCAATCCCAGTGCTGTGCAAAAAGTCAAAATGCTGCTTTACCTTGGATCAGAAGGGAGGGGATTTGTGCAGCTTCTCAGACTCTTAGTTCCCTTTCCTCTTCCATCTTCTCCTGTGGCTTGGACTTGCTCCATAGCCAGGACTGGCCTTGAGTTCCTGAGCCTCCTGCCTCTTCCTCCCAAATGCTGTAATTCAAGCATGACTGCTATACATCCTCATGCGCAGATTCAGATTCTGAGGATTTATGACCTACCTCTGCTTCGGGTTTCGTCCCGTTTTCTTACATGCTGTGTTGATTTTTTTGGGCGGTGGGGGGGTTCATGTAGCCCAGAGTAGCCTCAAACTTGCTATGGAGATGAGGATGACATCGAATTTCTGATCCTCCTGCTTTGCTTTTTGGGTGCTGGAAGCAGAGACATATCCCACCATGTGTAGTTTTATTAAGTGTTAGAGAGAACCCAGGACCTCATATGCATGCCAGGCAAGCACTCTACTGTCTGAGCTACATTCTTCACCCTTCTCAAGTCAGGAAAGCTTAGGGGGAAAAGGAAAAGAAGCCTCTTATCCCAGGATCTAGTTTATGTTTTCCTGTGGGCTGAGGGTCAAGAAACTTCAATAGAACTGATAAAGCCAAAACTTCCCATAGAATAATAATGTTTCCCTAAAGGCACTGCAAATGATGTTAAAACAATCCGGTCAGGAAGACCAATCAGTTCCGATTCCCAAAACCACTTAAAGCCAAACATGGAAATACATGCCTATAATCCCAGTGCTGTGAGATGAGAGAGAGAGATGGCACCTCAGCTTTGGGCTAGCTAATATAGCCTAGGCAATGGTAAACAAGAGAAAAGATCCCACCTCAACCAAAGAGGAAGGCGGGAAAAGAGCCACGGTTGTCCTGACTTTCACATGTTCATCATGGCATGTACTTGCCCATACTCCCCAACACAAACACACATACACACACAGGGCCATGCATGGTGGCTCCCGAATGTCGTCCCACCACAGGAGAGGCCGATGCAGGAGTCCTGGTGCAAGTTTTAGGCCAGCTTAAAAAAGAGGAACCAGCAACAGGAGCAAACTGTGCTTACTAGAGCCAGAATGTTTGCGACTTGCAGCTTCACTGTGTCAGTACCCTATCATCCCCTAATTAAAAACGTCCCTCACGAGACCCTCTCACAGCTTCATCTGTGAAGAGGAAACTGTGCCCTCTTGTTTTCAAAGACAGGATCCCATTCTGTAACCCAAGCTGGCTTAGAAATCACTGTGTAGCACAAACAGGCATCGAATTCATGATGGCCCTCCTGAGTGCTGGGATCCCAGGTGTGTGCCACCACACTCTCTTAATCTTTAAAACTGGGAGCAAATACATCCACATGTGACATCTGGCTTCAATGTCTCACTACAACTCTGTTCTCAATTTTTCTCCTTCCTAATTTCTCGTCACTTGGAACAAAAGCCCGACAGTGTGGGTCCTTGTTGGGACACACGCTTGATGCAGCTACCCTGATAGAAACTTTAGAGCCTTTAACACACCAAATACCCTGTGGACAACCTTCTGCCTGGAGCCACAGTTCCATGGGCCATGTGGGAAGTCCTCTACTGTGTCCATATAAAGTCCCGGGAACTGATCATGCCTGAAGTCTTGTGGTCAATCACTTCACTTCATACACTCACAGATTACCTGGAAACCCTTCAGACTGCTCCTCAACTATCCCCCTGTCAGAGATACCTGGCCACTGGCATCTAGAACGTGTTCAACACATGTCCACTGGACTCAAAAGTCAATTTGTAGTAAACATTAACCTTTATTGGTTTTCTCAAGAACCGCCCTCATAAAACCCCTGTTCCTTCCAGATAGAGAGTATCTTTGTCCTAGTACACTTAGTCCTTGTGAGACAAAAGGTCATGGAACCGAAAATGGACTTCTGTTTAGTAGGATGTCTCTCCCTCTGGAAAAGTGTCCTCTCCTTGAACAAGAAGGCTGAGCCATGCTTGGCTAAACTCCTTTTAAAGACTTAACCGGGAACCGTCTTAGAGCTCAAGGCTGCATCCCTTGAGAAATTTAGACCCCGAAGCGTCTGCTTGAGAAAATTCAAGACGGTTGACCTAATTTCCCCTAGCCTCAGTTTCTGTGGGAGAATGGGAATTAAGTTCCTTAAGCCCCAGCCAGCAGCAAAACCATGAGGGGCTTGCATCGACCGCCCTTCCCTTCCTTCCCTTGCCTGATTTTGTAATTGCTCCTCACAGACTTCTGCACTCCCTGTTCCCCTTTGGAACCACATCCACTGGTGCCACCTCTGCCCAAATGGGGATGACTCAGCTAGGTAAAATCTGCCCCTCCATTAATTAGAGTAGTGCCCTGTCTCTATGACAAGCTGTCCTCTTGGGCCCTACCCCACCACAAGCTCCTAAAAGAGGCTACAATTACCCGTGACAGCTCCCACTGTACTCCTAAGGCGCGGAGGGCCAACAAGGACCCCAAAGTCCCAGGCTGGAAGACTTCCTCTTTCTCTCACATTGTCCCAAAGCCTGCCCAGCGCTCCTCAGCTTCAATGGGTAGCCCATTCTCTTGCAAAGAGAGATCCAGGGTTATCCTCAGGCCTCTTGGAGCACACCTGTTGAGGAGATTGCTTAACAGCTTCCAACTCCACTGACCACCCATGGGCCTGGTACCTCTGACCCTCTGATCCCAATCCAAGAACTAAGTGAGACCCTCTCATGATGGGCCAGGGCCTGGATGTGCCACATCCTGTCCAGGTTAAGTCCAGCTCCAGGGACAGGCCCACCAGGCTCATCTCCCACCCCAGTACTGATCTTTAAGCTCCCCGCAAGAGTGTGAAGACCGGCCTCGCTTCAGCGACCCCCAACCAGGAACGGACCCCTTCCCAGTGTCCGCATTCCCCAGCCCCGGCCCACGTTCCCCTAGGTGAGATCCGGTACCCAGGTCTGGAGAACCCTCGCCCGAGGTCAGCGCCCTTCAGCCCAGTCCCGTTCCACGGGTGCAGAATCCGATCCCCGGGTCTGAGCTGACCACGGTGCACGCGCTCCGGCCGCAGCACTCACCTCGCCCAGGCGGCGCACAGGTCTGGCCGGGAGGCGCAAAGGGCTCAGGCAGCGCCGAGGGCAGCCCCGGCCGCCTGAGGTCCCCGGACCATGGCGGCGATGGTGGCGGCGCTGCGCGGGCCGGTCGCCCACTTCCGGTCGCGGACACGGGCCTGGACACGCGGGACACGGGGCGCGGCGGACGCAGCGGGAGGTAGGGTGGGGTCGTGGGCAGTGCACGGGGAGAGGAAGAGGGTGTCTGTGCGTGTGTCCTCATGGGGTCGCGGCGGCGGGGCCGTGCTGGAATGTGTCCGCGTGGGCATGCCACGCAGGACCGGGTATCCGAGGACCGCTGTACTGGGCAGGAGGGGACCTGCTTTTAGCGGGTTGCTCCCTTCTCAGATGACTCAAATGCTGGAGGTGCCTTGCCTGAGGTCCTGTCCCCAAATTAATTGTGTCCCTGTGGGGATGTCAAGGGCTCTGGGGTCACGTGGTACCCTACTGGCCCACCACTCCCTAGTTGGTTTTTGAGTCATGGTCATGCAGCCCACGCTGGTCGTGGTTTTTGTTGTTGTTGTGATTTTTTGGTTTTGCCCCGACACCCACGCGCACGTAGCCCAAGCTCACCTCAGACTGCCTAGTTAGTTGCCACTGACTTTTTGGCCTTCTGGTTTCCTCCCAAGTTTCAGTCATTGATTTGTTGTTTTTCTGTTTTGTTGGTTTTGGGTTTTTGAGTCATGGTCATGCAGCCCACGCTGGCCTTGAACTGCTCTTCACCCCTCAGCTCCAAATGTTGGGATCACAGGTCCGCACCCTCATGTCCCACCCAGCAAGGACTTTTTACTTGTACATAAGGGAATACATGAGAAGATGCTAGAGAGCCGTGGGCCCAAGCCCCAGTCCTTGCCAGGGTCTGTGTGTATCCTTGGAGAGGAGAAGAAACAACTTGTTTGCTTTGCACCAGAGGGAGTTATTGCTGAAATCATGTTAGTAATCAACTTCAAACGGCCCCGGTGGAAGCAGGGTACCCCTCAACATGGGTTCACGCTATCCTGGACAGGCCGAGGTCTTCCAGAGTTTCCCATCTGTCCTGGTATGGCCGGTCCATGAATGGTCTTCTTCAAGCAGTCACATGGTGACCAACCATCCTTAGAACTGCCCCCTGGATTCGAATGACAGAACTCAATTCTGCCCACAGTGGGAGAGTGTAGAGGGAGGTGAGCAAAGACAGGCCGAGTTCTTCACAGAGGTGGTGGCATGAAAGGGGCAATGGCTGGCCCATGGCCTGCAGGGGCAGGGCAGGCAGGCTGACTGCTTGGTTGGCAGAGGTCTTTTAGCCTTGACCTACACTAGTCTGGGAGAGTCTTGGGAAGCGGTCACTACCCTGTGAGTTGGGAACCTAGGGGGCAGACCTTAGGGAACTAGGGTTGTTCTAACTGTCAGGTCTCTGGCTCTTTCAGCCTCGTTGCTGCCTATGTTAGCTGGGAACATTTACAATGATTTTGTGGGGGTGAAAAAAGAAATCAATGTACCTGTGCCATTGGTACCATCAACCCCCACAGTGACAATAAAAGAAAGGGCTCAGCAATGACTGCTCTTCACAGGACCCAAGTTCAATTCCCAGCACCCAGGTGGTGCCCATTCCAGAGGGTCCAAGCCCTTATCTGGCCTCTGGCATTGCAAGCCCATGGCACGAGGTCTCGTGTGTGTGTGTGTGTGTGTGTGTGTGTGTGTGTGTGTGTGTGTGTGTGTGCAGACAAACACTCAGACACATAAAAATAAGTAAAATCTAAAGGAAAAACCCTTTTTAAATCTGTCAATGAGGGTGAGAGATGGCTCAGAGGTTAAGAGCCCTGACTGCACTGACTGCTCTCCCAAGGGTCCTGAGTTCAATTCCCAGCAACCACATGGTGGCTCACAACCATCTGTAATGAGATCTGGTGCCCTCTTTTGGCCTGCAGGCAAAAATGCTGTATACATAATAAATAAATAAATCTAAGAAAACCCCAGATCTGTAGATGAGCTTCATGAGCTCTCAAGCCTGGGAACCCCCAGTGGTGTGGGATTTGTTTTCAGGTAAGCAGGAAGCACCACTGTCTGGAGGATTCTGGACGTCAGAGCCTTACTGGGGTGAGGATCCTATAGGGTCCAGGGAATTGCCATTCGACATATGACTCCAGAGTCCCCTTTTTTGAGTCCCCTCCAGCCTTGCAGTCTGTCCTTCTGGAGCAGGAACACACCCATGTTTTCCAGCTGGGGGTGGGGGTGTGGTGCATCACCCAGACAAGACTGTTGGCATCCTCTGAACAGCTATCCAGATCCCTCACCCCACAGGTGACTATTCTGGGTGGCCAGCCCCTCTAAGGGAACCTTCCTGCCTTATCAGAGCCGTGTGCCCTTTATTTGGACTTTGTCATTCCATTAGAGCCCTGGTTTCTGCTCATCTGTCCAGAACACTGTGGGTCTGGAGGCAGAGATGAAGCAGAGACATGTTCTAGAGATGAGGCTGTGGCAGGAGGAGTGGCCTAACCGCAGTGAGTGAAGGCCAGCACATGAGGGTTCCCTGCAGGAAGCCATCACCTAGGCAAGGTGTTCCCTGACATCTGTTGTCCAGGTTTTGCTCTGTAGAATGGCATTTGCTACCCCCAGCAGGCTGCATCCCCTATCCCCAGCAGGCTGCCTCCCCTATCCCCAGCAGGCTGCATCCCCTAACCCCAGCGGGCTGCATCCCCCACCCCCAGCAGGCTGCATCCCCTACTTCCAGCAGGCTGCGTCCCCCACCCCCAGCAGGCTGCGTCCCCCACCCCCAGCAGGCTGTATCCCCTACTTCCAGCAGGCTGTATCCCCTACTTTCAGCAGGCCTCATCCCCTACCCCAGCAGGCTGCATCCCCTACTTCCAGCAGGCTGCATCCCCCACCCCCAGCAGGCTGCATCCCCTACTTCCAGCAGTCTGCATCCCCTACATCCAGCGGGCTGCATCCCCTACCCCCAGCAGGCTGCATCCCCCACCCCCAGCAGGCTGCATCCCCCACCCCCAGCAGGCTGCATCCCCTACTTCCAGCAGGCTGCATCCCCTACTTCCAGCGGGCTGCATCCCCCACCCCCAGCAGACTGCATCCCCTACTTCCAGCAGGCTGCATCCCGCACCCCCAGCAGGCTGCATCCCCCACCCCCAGCAGGCTGCATCCCCCACCCCCAGCAGGCTGCTATATCCTTCCCAGTACTGACCCTTGTAAACTCTCCCTGTGGGCTTCTTCCAAGTGTTTATCAGAGGGGAGGCTCCTGGGTGTGCACCTTGGGAACGCAGGTGGCCATGATAAGCCAGCCCTACCAACTGCTTGATAGCAAAGAGGAGAGGGCACAGTGTAGGCCTCAGGGAAGAGAGACCCAGTAGGAGCCCCACTCTGGCCACAGGAAGGACAGGTGTCCTCAATGGAAGGTAGGAGCCTTTTCTAGGGATCTAGGATCCCCCACCTCTGTCACCCAAATGCAAGGCTGGTCCTCTCTAGGGCTGAGGGGCAACTTGCCTCCTAGCACTTAATTTCTTTTCTTCTCTAGGATCACATCAAAGCCATCAAATAATTTGTAACCGTCCGGGCCTTTTCAGAACTTGAGCCTGGGGTAGATTCAGTTGTGGGGCTGCAAACCGGGGGCCACCTCTCACCTTCAGCTGTGTGCTCCTGTAGTGGGGTGCACGCCAGTGACCTTGAGGGCTATGGGAGCCCCAGGGTTTTCTCTGCAGCCTTGTCTACTTTGGGTGGGTACAAAGGCAGGTGTGGCCATTAAAAACTGTTCCTTTTACATTTGATTTATGTATTTACTTAGTGTGTTTATGGGTGTGGGTGCACACATGCTCCTGACACACATGTGGAGGTCAGAGGACAACTCTGAGACTCCTGGCTGTATGGGCCCTGGGCCTCTGTGTGGGAGGGCTACAGAGAAAGTCATGATTGCTATAATGAAGAACTGCCTTCACCACTGAAAAGCCTGTAGACCGAATGACAGTGTTTTTGTTCTGTCTGGCTCAGGACTCTGGGTGAAGTCTTAGGTTCTGAGACTCCTTTGGGCACTTAGGGAGATTCTCTGCAAAGATGGTCACATACCCTCACAGCCTGCTTCATCACACCCTGGTTTCTGATTTGTGTAGACAGTGTGGTCACCCTGACTGCCCCAGGTAGGATCCCCCATCCTGATAAGCTTTGTATCACCTACAACTGTATGGAGCCACTGGCACTTCATGAAAGCAAGGTCAGGGCTGGCTCCTGAACCCTACCTTCTGTTCTTCTTCAGCAGGGCAGCAGAGCTTTGATTTCTTGGTGATGGGTGGGAATCCGGTGGCCTAGCTTGTGCCAAGGAAGGTATGTATTTTGTGTTTGATTCCCTTCTGCTGTGTTGGGGCCTTGAAGCTTTTGAGTCTCCTAGGAGGAGTACTGTGGGGACAGGCCAGATGTCCAGACGCAGATGCCATGGGACAGATGTCTCCTCTAATCTGGAATCCACACAGATCCTGAGTCTGGCTTCTCCTGAGAGTGGCATAGTCCCATCCCCATTTGTTTGTCTTAAATTTATTTTTATTATTTTTAAATTACATGTGTATGCCTCTGCATAGGGGTGTGTGATTGTGAGTGCAGGTTCTCACAGAGTCCAGAAGAGGGCACCAGATCCCCTGGAACTGGAGTTACAGGTAGTTGTGAGCCATCTTATATGGGTGTCGGGACCTGAACTCAGATCCTCTGTAGGAGCAGTCCGCTCTCTTAATCACTCAGCCATATCTGCTGCTCCACATTTTTGTTCTTGTTTCTGAGGTGGAGTCCCACTTTAATGAGAATTGATAGACAATAAACCAGTACATATTTAAAGTAGATGACTTGAGGCTGGGCCTGGTCATGAACATCTGTGATTCTAGCTATTCAGGAGGCTGAGGCAGGAGGATCACTTGAGTCTCAGAGTTTGAGATCAGCCTGGGTAACAGTGAGACCCTGTTTCAAAGTAAATAAGTAAATAAAATCAAGTGAGCAGTCTCACAGGTGGGTGTGTCTGTGAAACCTGAACTATGGCGAGGATGGTAACTGTCCCTGACACCCCTCACCCACTCTGAGTGGGCTGTATAACTACAGCCTTGTACTGACTGAGGTTCTGGATGCTAGCAGTCTAAGACCAAAGTGTCAGCAGGACCAGCTCCTTGTGGCTTCTCTGCTTGTCATATCTTCATGTATACTTCCCTGTTTCTGTACCCTAATCTCTCCTTACAGTTGGACAAGGGGCCAACCACCCTGTGACCTAGTTTAACTTTTTCTCCAAATATAGTCATAGTCCTTGGTACTGAAGGTTGAGTCTCTGACCTGGATTTGAGTGTGTGGGGGTTCACACAGTTCAGGCTATTACAATGTCCAGCTCCCAGAGAGCATGGTAATTCCTGCCTTCCTTCTCCTGCCCCCCAGGCAACCACTGGCCTGCTTTTTCCCACTGTAGGTGCTTGCCACTTGGTAAAGTGTGCGGGAGTGGAAGTCACTCTGTACTTTACTACTCTGGCTCCTTTCCCTCAGCGTCACTATTTTTTTAATATTTATTTTTACTATTTTTAATTGTGAGTGTCTGTGTGTGGGTCTGTACACACATGTGCAGGAGCCGTCAGTGGCCAGAGATGCCCGATTTCTCTGGGACTGGAGTTGAAAGCTTGTGAACTACCCAACATGAGTGCTGGGAATTGAACTTGAGTCCTTTGGAGGAACAATATGTGCTTTTAACCACTGAGCCATCTCTCCAGCCCCGGCATTATTAGTTTGAGTCTTGACCATTCAGAGAGTGTATGTAGTTTGTTCTTACTGCATTGGGACAGCACATGGTAGACCATATCTCGTCTGTTCACCTGCATGTGGATATGTGTTCTTCTTTTTTCAATGTGCATGACTGCTTTGCCTATGCATAGATGTGTGCATTGTGTGCCTGTCGTCTGTGTCCAGAGAGGCCAGAAGAGGGCGTTGGATCCCCTTGGACTGGAGTTACAGATGTTTGTGACCTGCCTTGTGAGTGCTGGAACTGAACCCTGTTTCTCTGTAAGAGCAACAAGTGCTCTCAGCTGCTGAGCCATCTCTCGGATCCTGGGTGTGTGTGTGTCTTTATCTCCAAATATATTCCTTGGTACTGAGGGCCTCGACTGAATTTTAACAGGGAGGATACAGTTCAGCCCATTACTATTCCCAGCTTCCTTTCCCCTTGTTTTGTTTTGTGTGAGGCAGGTTCCAGTGTGGCCCTTGATGGCCTGGAACTTGCTATATAGCTGAGTCTGGCCTTTAACTCCCGATCCTTTGCCTCAGCTTGCCAAGTGCACTTGCTGCTATTGCAGAGGACCTGGGTTTGGTTCCCAGCACCTGTGTTAGGCAGCTCACAACTGCCCGAAATTCCAGTCCAAAGGATCTAATTTCTTCTGGTTTCCATGGGCACCTGCATGCATGTGGTGTACATGCATATGCGCACACACATAAACACAAAATAAATCAATTTAAAATATTGTGGGCGGGAGTGGGAGGATCGATGAGAGGGGGATCTGTGATTGGTATGTAAAAGGAATAAAAATTTTTTTTAAATAAAAAAAAATTTTTTTTTGCCAGGTGTGGTGGTGTATTCCTGTAATCCCAGCACTTAGGGCACAGAGGCAGTTGGATCTCTGTGAATTAGAGACCAGCCTAGTCTACATAGCAAGTTTCAGGGTAGCCAGAGCTGCATAATAGAGAGAACTTGTCTCAGAAAAACCTAATAAATAAGTAAAAATAAAAATAAAGAATTTTTTGGAGAGAGTCCCATTGTGTAGCCCAGGCTGGCCTCAAATTCTGCATCCTTCTGCCTATGCCTCTGAAGTGCTAGGGTCAGAAGTGGGCACCTCCTTGCTCACCTTACAGTTTTTAGTGTGTGAGTTTTAGTTTCTTAACTATTGCCGTGTTAGAACATTCTAACCAAAGCCGCTTGGGGAGGAAGGGGTTTGTTTGGCTTGTACTTCATGCCACAGCCCGTCACTGAGGGGAGTAGGGCAGGAGGTCTCGGCAGGAACCTGGAGGCAGGAGCTAGTGCAGAGGCCATGGAGGAGTGCTGCTTACTGGTTGGCTCCCTCTGGCTTGCTCAGCTACATTTCTTATACAAACAAGACCACCTAGCTAAGAGTGGTGTGCCCAGAGTGGGCTGGACCCTTCCACATCAACCACCTGCCTATCTCCTGGAGGCAGTTTCTCAATTGAGACTTCCTCTTCCCAGATGACTCTAGCTTCTGTAAAGCTGACAAAAACTAACCAGCACAATTGACCCCTTGTCAGTCTGACACTCAACCATAAACCATAAACTTTCCCGTTATCTCCAAGAGCTCATGTTAATATCACAATATAAAATTAATAGAATTTTAAAAGCCCCACAGACTTTAAAAATGTCAATACTTTAAAAGTCCAAGGTCTCTTTAAAAGTCCAATATCTCTTTAAAAGCTCAAAGTCTCTCAACTGTGGGCTCCTGTGTGACCACTGGGTAGGACCCAGGAAGACCTAAGCTGGACAGGAGGATCCTCCCAGGACTCACAGCCCTGTTCCATCTCCAGAGATCAGTCTCCTGAGGAGACAGGCCCTCTATTTCCTTAAATACCCCCATGATGGGCCCTGTGAGGACCAGCAGGACAGGGCTGGCCCTGTTGTCAAGGCTCTCGGCATGGCCCCCCCTTCCACACACAGCCACTGCTTCTGTATGGCCTCTGCAGGCAGCTGCCCTATGGGAGGCTCCCAAGTCACTCTGCTCCATTTTGTTGGCTCTGTAGCCTGTCGGGTTCCTGGCTAAAGCATCTGTCTTTGTCTTCTTTTGCAGGGCCCTGGCCCAGCTGTTGGTTCTTAGGGATCACATCACCATAGCTGGAAGGGCGGTCCTGAGCAGACCCAGTCCTGGAGCCGGGAGCCCCACCCTTATGTGGCGGGTTGGCCAAGCCTCTTGTCCCAAGCCAGGGCCTGACTTTATGGATCTCCCTGTCTTACCCTCCCCTCTCCTCCACTCTCCTGATCTAACTCTCCAGGCCTGAGTTAGCTGTTTACTGACAAGGTGCTGTGTAGTGGGAGAGAAGGGGTGGGGTGTCCCCATGCAGTGCCACAAAGGAGCAAATATGAGCCTGGAGTGGAGGTCCTGGGGCAGGAAATAGGACAGGTGGGGACTATGGAAAAGAACTTGGGCTCCCAGGGGTGGCTGGAATACTACCCCGCATGCAGGCTGACCACAGTGAGGACTGCTCCAGGAGAGTCCAGGCAGGGAAGTGTAGGAGGCAGATAGCTTGGGGGACAAGCTGTGCTTGCCCCCAGCCCCCGTCATGGGTTCCCTGGGACACCCTCCCTCTGCAGTGTACTCTTCCTGAGCTGCCTGTGCTGGGGCCAACCCGGGTCCTACATCTGCCTAGAACCTCAAGTAACCTCGGGCCTGACTGCCAGCAACAGCGGGGGAACTGTTCCTCAGTGCCTGCTGTTTGTGACTTCAAGATGAAGACGACTGACAAAAAGCATTAAAAAAGAAACCAAAATAAGACTGTATCAGCAAACATTGAAATTTTTGTAAGAAAATTTAAAGATTAAAAGAGCAGCAAAGGAACTTCTTGCCTGTCTTCTGAGTCAGCTCACTAGAGCAGCGCCCGCTCGCCTAGCTACAGAGGAAGAGGGTTAACAGCCACTGCTGCCACCTGGTGGATATTTCCTCAAGTCCCCTGGCGGGGGGTGGGGTGGTGGGATGGTGGGAGGCTCTGCCCCTGGCCCTCAGGCCCTGCCCACTCCTGTCCTCCTTGTCTCCTGTTGGCACCCTCAGCCCAGGAAGGGAGCACTGGCTGATTGATGTAGGTCCAGGCGGGATCAGCGGAGGTGGCGCTCATCTTTTCTAGTCTGGAAACAGGCCCCTTCTGAGGCTTGGAGGAGGAAGTGGATGGGTGCCTCCTCAGCAGCTGGGTGCCTGGGCAGACATGGCCTGTGGTCTGAGCCCACTTCCTCCTCTGTAAGTCAGGAAGCAGGGCTGGAGAGATTGTCTCCTGTGTGGCACACAGGAGTGGAGAGCAGCAGGGGGCAGCATGGCCCCCCGCTACCTGTCCCCAGACTACCCAGTCAGAGATGGTGCAGAGGTGGACTGTCGTGTTGTACAGCAGGGAGGAGAGCAGTGTGGTAGCTGAGACAGTAACTGAGTGGATCTCTGGTATCCAAATATTAGGAGCTTGAATTTCTTTGATGATGAAAGATCACGGCATAACTAGAAAACGGGTTATAACTCGGGAAGACAAGAGTCTGTAGCCCTGGCTGTCCCGGAACTCACTGTGTAGCCCAGGCTGGCCTTGAACTCAGAGCTCTGGCTGCCTTTCTTCCTGGGTGCTGGGATTAAAGGTGTGTGCCACCAGCCTGGAGAGCTTATGACTCACTCTCAAGATGAAGGGTGAGTGGCCGGGGACATCTGGTAACAGCCAGACAGCATCTGGATATTCCCAGTCTCCTGACTTCTGGCTGGCCCTAATTGGTGATGGCAGTGCCCAGCGCTCTGGCACTGACCCTGTGAGAATCTCTTAGGTGACACCGGACACCAGCAGGATGACACCTCCTTTGACTTTTTTTTTTTAATCCCTTTTGTTTTCTGGTGTTTAGGATTAAACTCAAGGCCTCTTGCATGTGGGGCAGGCACTGTGACCAATGCACCTCCAGCTCAATTCAGCCTTTTATCACAGGTGCTTTCCAGGTCTATTGCAGTGGTTTTGGATGGTGAGCTCACTACCTGGAGACTGTGCCAGTGTTGGCAATCTGGAGCCACAGCACTTGAGGACAGGCTCCAGAAGCATAGCGGGGTCAGCATGAGTGTGTGTCATCTTGCAGAAGGAAGCTGGAAGGGGATCTCAGGGAAGGCTGAGTGGTCAAGACTTCATGGGCTGCTTGGACCCTTGTAGAGGGCCTTCTCCAGGCCGTCTACCACTTCCATGTACTCCAGGTATGAGCTGTAGTGTGTGCACTCGAACTTGTTGCTCCCCCGCACATATTCCAGGAAGTCAGGGGCTCCCGGGACGATGACATTGTCAGCTAGAAGTACTGTCCCCTTGCGTAACAGGCCATATTCCTGCAGGGGACAGACAGGGAGGGTCATGACTGCTTGGCAAACCCATCGCAATCTAGGGGCAGCTGTTCCCCCATGGGGTCACTTCCAGCTACTGTCCATTCTCCCCAGTATCCAACCCAGCCCTAGAGGGGCCTGTGGGCAACACAGGTTTGTAGGTTGACTGAGATGGTGGGACCAGGAGGCCAGTTTTCCTCAAACACTCTATGCCAAAAATATGGGGTCTTCACCAACAACCCTGACTTTGAGGATCTGTTCTGGACTTTCCACCAGGGCCAGAGAAGATACTAGGTGCCTGGGCTCTGAGTAGGAGGAGGGAGCTGTTTCTGGGCCCCCAAAGCAATGGCTCTAGAGCCTGTGGTTGTGGGAAACCTCCCCTGTAGGGTACTTGTCTATCCACTCTGGCAAGTATGTCTGCTGACAGTGTGACAGCATATAAATAACAAAGTACCTGACAAGGAAGTGGACCTTGTGTGTGTGTGTGGGGGGGGGGGAGGAAGAGGGGCAGGAAGCAGGAAACGGGACACCTGGATGTCTTATCTGAAGGTTACCAAGGAAGCTTAGGGTTTGTTTTTAACATAATCATGAAACAAAAGTTAAAGCAATCCTGTGTGATGTGGCCCACATTTGTAATCTCAGCATTCAGGAGGCTGAGGCAAGAGGATTGAAAGTTCCAGGCTAGCCTGGGCTACATAAGACATTTGTCTTCAAACACATACACACAAAGCAACCCAAAAAGGGGAAGTAAGTCCAGCAAATAGCCAGGGCTGAAGTGTAGCTCAGTGGGAACCGCGGCCTAAGGTTCTGTTCCCAGCACCACACACATAAAATCAAAACATCCCCACCATCCTAATGCAGGGCAGTCTGTGCCCTTGCAGAACAGAGTTGTACTCCTAACCACTGTCCAGGGCTCCAGCTGCTCCCAGTGATTGGGGTGGTAATCTCCAACCTGTGCCTGTGAGAGAGCTGAGGGACCCTCAGGCAGTCAGTAAACTCGGGGATAGTCTCATGCGCTACAATGTGAATGAGCTTCCCTCTGAATCCTAGTGAAAGTAGAAGACGATGTCATGTCAGCTCTGGTTGGAAAGACCTTGGTGAAGAACTGCTGTGGAGGAAGGCATCTGCCCAGTCCAGAGAGGGGCCCTGGAGTTCAGGGTGGGGAAGAAAGAGATGAGCAGTGGGTCCCGGCTCAGCCAGGGACTTGGAAACATCGAGAGTCACATGGTGATTGTCAGTAAGACTAATGACCTTGAGACCTAAAACTTCCTGATTTCATCGTGACAGGAAGGAAGACGGGCACTTTTGGAGGTGCTGGCGACCCGCTGCCCTTCAGGAAACAAGCCCTATCCTGAGGCAAAGGCAGCACCTGTCCTATCTGTATTTGGGTACCATGAGCCTCCTGAAAGACATCTCAGGTGAATGTGCACCTGTGTGTGAGTAACTGCGCTTCTATGCTAAGGAGACAGTGGAGTGCAGAATACTGTAGGGAAGATGTTGTGGACAGGGTCTCACTATGTAACCCAGGCTGGCCTCAAACACGATCCTCCTCCTTCAAGTGCTAAGATTAAACATGTGCACCACTAAGCCTCATGGTGAGGTAAGTTCAGTTTATGATCACCATTCTTAAAGGTTTGTCCTCTGGGTTCAGTTCTCTACAAACATACATCTAAGAAGAAAAAGAAGTGCAGCCGTTCCCAATGCACCCTGTCTTCAGGAGCTAATTGCCAGGTTGAGCAGCAGCACTGAGATCCGTTAGTTTCTTAGTTACTGAACAGGAGTATTTGCTATTTTCCTAAAAGCAGGCCCTGTGATTGTCACACACACACACACACACACACACACACACACACAAAGCAGCAGAGACCCACTCCCTGCACTGTGCCTGACCGCTCTGCTTTCTGCACTCATGTTCAGTGTCTGCCAGGGATGGGCCTGTCCAAACCAGCTTCCCATGGTTGGCCTGCCCTGCTGGTCTCCTCCGTCCCCTGACTGCCTGCCCTCTTGCTAGAAACATTCTCTGGTACAACTTCCTGGCCCTGTTATATATATCCCTGTCTCCCACCATAGTGCTCAGCACCTCTCCAACAGTTTGAAGGACCTCTGAAGTACCCTCCCTATGCACCATCCATGCCTCCACAAGGTCAGCAAAAATCCTTCTAGACGCCAGGACTCACCCTCCCCCATCCCTTTCCCAAAGCTCATTCATGCCTGACTTTTCCTCTGTGCCCTTACATTCCCCAGAACTATCTGACCCACACCCAAGCCACAATGGCCTGACCTGCCCATGGGCTCGTTGGCTGACCCCTCACATTCTAGAACTCACTGTACATGATAGGGTGTACAACTCTTGAGACAACTGTGGCTGGGCCACACCACAGGGACAGCTCCATGCTGGCTGTGGAAGACTGTGAGGAAGCCCAATGAAGGCCAAGGAGCCCCCTGTCCCTTTTCTGGCCACAGAACAAGGTAATGTCTCCTGAAGCTCATCACTTGGGAGTGGGGTGGCTCCCCAGTCTTCACTGGGGGTCTCTGCTAGGTGAAGCTGGCTGAGCAGCAGTGCTGAGTGCTGGGAGGGGCTAGGGAGAGTGCACTTGTATAGCCAAAGCTTCAGGAAGATCCAGGACATGCTTGCCATTCCTGTGGCTGGCCCCAGTACACCCAGTCAGACCCATGCTGTGGCCAGTTCTGCTCCCTTGGGGACTCAGAACTGTGCCCTTCAGGCCCAGGTGTTCTAGTCTCTGGTACTCATCTCACTCCCTAGCAGACCCCTGCTTGCAGGGCAGGGAATCCCTGGCCTGGCACTCCTACCCAGACCCCACTCCCTTCCATTTCCACCTGCCACAGGGCCTCTGCAGCCCACCAGATTCCCAGCCTGTGCCCGGGCCCTTCTATGCCCTTGGGCCACCCACAGTAGGGATCTTCAGAGAGGCCCAGGCCCAGTTACCCCGGCAGTGACGGCACAGAAGCCATCCTGCCAAGCAGGGGCAGCTCAGCTCACCTCCAGGAGACGCGTGTCTGGCAGGTAGCGGTCTTTCCAGTGGTCAAGAAAGACCATGTCTAAGGTGTCCACATCATACTTGGTCTTCAGCTGCGGGATGAGGTCCTGGGATGCCCCAATGAGGATGGTGACCTGGAACAGTATTCTGTCAGTGCTGTGCCCACAGGGATATGCACGAGCCTGCCTGGACCCCCACATGTGTATACATCAATTTCTTCAGGGCTCTGGAGAGCAGTCTGTACTGTGTAGTCTCTCCTGGGGCAGTCTGGGAGTTGCTGGCTCTGTAGGACAGGTCAGTGAGACAGTGCCCTAACCTGCTGGGGTTTCTTCCTTTGACATGGCAGGTGCTTAGTGACTGAACCAATCCCCTCACCCTCCCCACTGCCCGCTCAGCCCTCCCAGCCACAGCTGCCACACTGGTTACAGGGTCCTACTTTGTCCCGCAGGCCTGCCAGGTTCAGCATTTGCTGGGTGATGGCAGCATAGTCAGGGTTCATCTCCATGGTGAGAAGCCGGCCTCCAGGTGGCAGCAGGCGCGCTATCCTTGTGGCTGAGTAGCCACAGTAAGCTCCTAGCTCCAGCACCAGCAAGGGCTTGTACTCCTGAATCACTGCATCCAATATTTGGCCTAGAGGGTGTTGGGGAAGATATGAATACAAGCAGGAGGGGAACCCCACCCCAGGTCTGGGTCTCACCCCTCTCTAGACCAGTAACATTCCCACTTGTCTCAAGCTCCTGACTGCTGCTGAGAAAGGTCCTTAGCCTCCTGATAGCCCAGAGGACCTCACTATACATACCCTTGGAGAGTCCTCTGCCTTTTGCACACACACACACACACACACACACACACACACACACACACACGCCCCCCCCCCCCATCCCACTCCTCCAACCACCTACCTGGTTCCTTCATGTGTAAATGTTATTGTCTCTAAGGGGGATAGGCAGGGGCAAGACCCATGATTCCCTCTTCCCTTTAACAGGCTCCCCTCAGGCTGGATCACCACGTCCAGTTCTGGATTCCCCTTTCTAGGCCACCACCTGCAGGCTGGGTCACATACCTTTCAAGGCACCCACATTCATGGCCCACTCCTTCTCTGAGCAGTATGTGTCAATGGCGTCCAGGACGCTCTGGGGGTCTCCAGGCTTGGCATGCTGCTGCACATTGCGAAGGATGCGCTGTTCCTTTGTGTCACCCATGAGCAGGTTGCGGACTGGTTGGTGCACCAATTCAAACCAGTAGATGGATAACAGACCCCATTCCCGGCGTCGCAGGAACAGGAGGAGGGCCAACAACAGGACACCCAGTGAGAGGACAGCCAACAGCATCTGCAGGACCAGAGCAGGGTAGACAGGTTTATGTGCTGTGTGCCCTTCCTGCTTTACCCATCACATGCTCATCTTAGTACACCCATTGGTCCTTGTGCTAAAGGAGGGCCAAGGTCCAGAGCATATACCCACATGACTCATTGGGTCAGAGCCCTGTGTGGAGGCCAGTGAGACATGGATCCCAACCCTGGCTGCTTTCTCAGTGAAGGAGGTGTCATCTCACACTGAACTGGCATTCTGACTGTTTCAAGCTGAAAGAGGAACTGTGGGTGCACGATGGGCCACATGACCTGTCTGTTCCTACATGCAGCAGAATGTGAAGATTTCTTGGGAGGGGGTCCTCTGTTACCTACACAGAACAACAGCCTTCATCAGCAGAAACTGTTCATGGGGCTGGGGACCCAAGTAAATGATCTCACTGGAGTAATGCTCATTTTCCAGCTGCATTCACAGCCCCTTAGATGACCAAGTGACATCCTTAGATTCACAGAGATCTGTGTCCTGTTTCTCCCTACAGAATTATCACTTTGCCTCATAAAGCAGGGAAGCTGTGGCCCTTGTTCTTAATTTCCTTTGGGTTGTGGATGGCACCTTGTGTGTTCAAGGCAGGCACTCAACTACTAACCTGCATTATCAGCCCGATTTCTTGAGCCAGGCTATATAGCCCAGGCTGGACTTGAACTCATAATCCTCTTGAGGGCTGGGATTACAGGTGTGTGGCACCATGTCCAATGTTTTGGTCATTTCTCTGGTCCACATCTCCTTGTGGAAATCTCCAGGGCTGTGCAACATTAATACAATACATGTGCTCCCCTCCTGCTGTTCAGCCTTGTATTGACTGATTCGCTTGGCTGAAGACCCACAAAGGAACTAAGGGAGATACTGGGATCGACTGAAGTAGGGAACAGCTCCAGATTCCAGATCCTCTAAGATGATGTAAAAAGGCTGGGTGAGCTCAATAGTACAGTGCTTATGTAGCACACAAATGACCCCGAGTTCTGTCTCCAGTACAAGGTGAGTGGGAGTGAATACGATCACACACACTCACCTTCTAGCAAGCAAGAGCTGGGGAGAGGAGCCCAGGATCTAATCGACAAAGCTCAACAGATTCCCACGCTGACACTGAGCAGAGTTCACTATTCACAGCACAAGCTCATGATTTATACCGCAGACCGTAACAGAAAGACACAAGGAAGGACCCAGGGACACTTCCACCAAACACTCTGTGGCCATTTACAGTTCCTTTGGGAGTGGGCACTGACCTCAGCTGGAAAGGCTTGTGGAAGTCTTAAGAGGAGGCAGGCCCAAGGCCTAGGTGTGATGGCTGCTTCAGGACAGTCTCAGGAGAGAGCAGAAGCGACCGAAAGCTGTGGGGTCATGGGCATGGACCCATGGACATGACACTTAAGATTTCCTAACACATGCTTGGGTGGTGTGTTTTTTTTTTATTTTAATTTATTTTTTTTTTTTCGTTTTTTGAGACAGGCTTTCTCTGTTTAGCTTTGAGCCTTTACTTGAACTCACTTGGTAGCCCAGGTGGGCCTGGAACTCACAGAGATCCGACTGACTCTGCCTCCAGAATGCTGGGATTAAAGCCGTGCGCCACCACCACCTGGAGGGTGTTGAGGTTTATGCTGTCCATTATCATTACTAGAAGTAGCTTTTGAGTGGTGAGTAAATGAGCTATTTTGTTCTATCTGTCTGTCTGTCGATCTGTCTAGCTCTGTAGTGTGTAACATAAGATGCATAAAGTTTTAAAAACTGGGGGCGCAGGGGGAGGCTGGGATGCAGTTCCGCTGGCAGAGCCCTGGGTTCCAGCCACACCAGCTTAGCACGGTGGCACAACATTCAGGAGGTGAAAAGAAGTTCAAGATCATCCATGTGAGTTTAAGGACAGCCTGGAAAACATAAGATCCTGTCTCAAAAGGGGTGGGGGTGGGGTAACAAGGAAGATCCAGAAAACCTTGTAGGGAAGGGTCTTAACAACATCAGTTATGGCTACTGAGGAAATTCATATCAAAGCCAGGCTGGAGAGAGTACTTCACTGTCACTGAAATGGCTCTTTTCTGGGTGGGACACCGGGGATCGTGCACAAGGCTTTACTTACCTTGAGACAGCTTGTCATTAAATTGCCCAGGCTGACCTTGAACGTACTCTGTAGCCCAGGCAAGCCTTGAAATATACTTCCTGCCTCAAACCCAAGTAGCAGGGGCCTGCACCACCAGGCCTGATTTTTTTCTTTCTATTTTAAAGTAAGATAATAAAGTTGGTTAAAATATGAAAAAACTGGAACCCTTGCACACTGATGAGATGAAAACTGGTGGGAACAGTTTGATTCCTCCAGAGCCATCCCAAGAATCACCACATGACAATGTTGTTCAGCCCAAGCTGAGAGCAGGGCCGCAGGGCTGTGTCTGCTCTTGTTTCCATTGTGTGACTCACAGACCCACAAGTGGAAGCGACCCCAAGCTTCTTTAAGCTGAAGAACTTCACAGTCATCCAGACACAGAAGAGCAGATACCACAGGAGTCCACAACCAGGCTGGAAGCAGATCAGCCACTGAGGCTGAGGAGGGGGAGGGAAATTGTTCAGTGGGTTCAGAGTTACAGTGCAGAAAGATGAGAACGTTCTGGTAAAAGTTACGCAATACTGTGAATGCCCTTCGTGCCAGACAAATGGCCAAGTCTGGTGTTTGTATCCTAAACTTATTTACAAAATTGCCAGGGGGTTGACTGGAAAGGGATGTTAATCATCTGCTTAAAGGCTGTCTATGCTGAACCCTGAGCTGCGTACAGCTCATTCACAGTGTGTGTTTAACACATGTCCCCTGCATGTCTGATACACTCAAGTTCCTGGATGTCAGAAGCTTGATCGAGATGCTTAATAAAACCCGGGGCACCCATGCACACATTAGGGTCTGGGTTAGATTCTTCACTGTTATCAACTATTGACTTTGGGTTAGTACAAGGAGAAGTAAGCTGAGCCAGTTACTCTTCAGAATGAGCTTTATTAAGAGAACGCCTCAAGCCGGGCGGTGGTGGCACACGCCTGTAATCCCAGCACTCAGGAGGAAGAGGCAGGTAGATCTCTGTGAGTTCAAAGCCAGCTTGGTCTACAGAGTGAGATCCAGGGCTACATAGAGAGAGCCTGGAGATGGGGCTGGGAGTAAATCCAGAGCATTATGACAACATTGGGAGCTACAGCATTAAGTGGAAGAGAGGAAGGCATGATGTACAGCCTGGGATGTGAACCAGGTACTGGATTGAACCATAAACTTCCCTTATAGCTGTGAGGGGAAGGGCTGCAAGGCCCCATCAGGGCTTCTGAACTACTCTGGCTAAGAGGGAGAAGGTCTGGAAGGAGAGAAAAAAACAAGAAAGGAAAGGGAGGAGACGGGGAAGCCTGAGCTTGGTGGTGCACATCTGTAGTTCCAACACACAGGAGGATGAGAGGCGGGTCAGGAGTGAGTTCCAGGCCTGGTCTGCATAATGCGTTCCAGGCCATCCAGTGCTGCACAGTGACACCTGTCTCAAAAGCCCCAGGCCACATGAGATTCTGTTTTTTAGAACAGGAAGAGGCCACTTGCCTCCATGATAGCCTGCAGGCACCACTCCATCCCCTACTGCATCTGGATGCCTCCGGCTGTCATCTTAAAGAGGAACAGCAGGGCTGGAGAGATCGCTCAGTGGTGAGGAGCACTAGCTGTTCTTCCAGAAGGCCCGGGTTCAATTCCCAGCACTCACATGGCAGCTCACAACTGTCTCTAACTCCAGTCTTGGGAATCTGACACCCTCACACCAATGCACATAAAATAAATTTAAATAATTTTAAAAAAGCAAAAACCACCACAAAATTATTTTTAAAAGGAGGAGGAGGAGGAGGAGGAGCAGGAACAGCAGTAATGGAGCTGGGACACTTAAGTCTGCAAATACCACCTGAGCTTTCTCTGTGTAGACGCCTCTAGCCAGGCTGCTGCTGCATCTCCAGGCATCCGGACACAGGCTTTCTGAAGGGTCCCTTGCATTCTACAGGCTGCACTCTGCCTCAGATCAGATCTGTTTCCTCCAAGATCAAGATGCTCTTTGACTGAGCAGCAGGGAGGCCAAGAGGGAGACTTGTGGGTAATCATGGAGGCAGGAATCCCAAGTCTAGTCTTAGGACAGGTCCTTGGGGCCTGGTACATCTCTCACTGCCAACCAGTTCTCTCCTCTGTAAACTGAGGTGAGATTTCCCCCAGATCCTGCAGGATTGAGGGCAAGGCAGGACAGGTTACATAGCACCTGGTACCTGCTGGCCACAGACATGCCCAGGAAGCACAGAGCATCCATCCAAGACGTGGGTAGTCTGGCCTAATGAACCAGCCCAGCTTAGATACCTCCAGGACTGAGCAAACATGGGCTCCTGCATACCCAGATGGCAACTCCTCCCTTCCAGCGCTGCAGATGGACCCTCAAGAGCATGCACACAGGCATCCTACCAGTCAGTCCCCTGCATTCCCCATCATTTAAAGAGAAAGCCAGACATGTGGCTCATGTCAGCAACCCAACAGTTAGGAGACCAAGGCAGGAAGCTTACCAGTTTAAAGCTAAAGAGCTATACAGTGAGCCCCAAGCAGCTGTGGCTACACTGTGAGCCCCTACAGGTGCATCCCAGGAGTTACACAGGCCTACTGCATCAGTGCGCTCCAGATGAGTAAGAGAACCTGTCTCAAAAAATAAAGTGGGGTCTAGATATGACTCGGCAGTTAAGAGCACTGCTCTTCTACACCACCAAGGTTCTCAGCACCCACACGGTGGCTGACACCTGTAATTAGAAATCCAGACGATCCAATGTCTTCTTCAAGCCTCTCTGACACTATACCTACCTACATACAAACATGCTATACAGCTACACAGACACACAGGCGGGCAAAACACTCATACACATTAAATAATAAAAAAATAGGGTGGAGAGTGAGGAAGACAGCTGATGTTGACCTCTGACCTTGACATGCATATGCA